AAACAAGCATCATTTTCGACCGCTTGCTAGTTGTCGATGAATAAGCATCGAGAATATTTGCATGTCAACGATCCCAATGTCTTACGTGCATCCTCGACGTTCATTAGGAATATTTGGATCTTGGCCTGCCCCAGCTGGATACACCTCCGTCCAGCCAAGAATCCAGTGCGACAGAGGAGGACGGCGAAGAGAAGTTTCCAAACTTGTTGTGAACGTGTTTTAATCGCTGCGACTTAACGCAATGATCGCGCAGATAAATCGAGAGAAGATGAGGCACGAGGGTCGGTATTCATAGTCAGGTCTTATATTTAAGACCGTCCTAAGTTCACTTTTAGATATCCCATAGCCAATGAAATGATTTGTACAGCATCTGAAGATAAACTTAAGACGGTCTTAATATGAGATCCGACTATGAATCCGACCGGCCGAAGTAATCCAAATACGACTCGCAAATGCGATCGAGGAGAGGTAACGTCCACCGTGCACTTACCGTCACAGCCGGGAGTGAGTGAGTCGAATGGACGCGATGGTAGAAAGGAAAAGTAACGAAGAATGAAGCGTCAGATCACGCGTGAAAGATGATATATCGACTGAAACACGCCAAATAATATAAATCAGTATTGACCTGCAGCGCGTAGAATTAGGGGAGAGCGCGTTGAAAGAGAGAGAGAGAGAGAGAGAGAGAGAGAGAAAAAGAGAGAGAGAGAGAGAGTGAGAGTGAGAGAGAGAGAGAGAGAAAGAGAGAGAGAGAGAGAGAGAGAGAGAGAGAGCTTGTGCATCGCTAGTGTATCGTGTCGCGTACACACGACAAGGAGAAAACGAGAAAGGATACCCGAGAAAGCGGGCATTCTGTGTTATATTATTTTTCTACATGGATCGACACACACTACGCGTCTTTAGGATTAAAGCGGAAGGAACAGGACAGCACACAAGGGTTCAAGGGGGGAGATGGAGGTCAGTCCTTCTAAATGTTCAGAAGCGTTGATATGCAAAGCGGATTCCTAGGTCGCCTGTGCTGATCCATAGGTATTCGTAGATGTAATAATTGTGCCATGAATCAGTGCCTTGCGATGGGATCGCGCTCATGAGTAGAAGCACGCGAACCAAACAGAGAGGAGCAGATCGTCCTGGTCGCCGAGACGAAGATATTAGCGCGCGAAGGTGCTACCGAGCGAGAGGGCATGATGTTGCGTTTGTAACTAGTCAACTGTGTAACTAGAAAACTCGTATGTTTTCTTTCTGTATTATAGTAGCCGGTAGATTTACTTAGTGTTTTTACGTGGCTAGTGTTAGGCGGGAGCGACGACAAAGTAGATTTTGTATCGCGGGCAGTGACGCGTTCTGCGTAACAATTTTTGTAAGAAAAGAAAAAAATGAGAAAAACCCAAGGAGGGAAACTGAATTAGATGTACGGAAGATCAAGTGTGCAAGAGATAGGACGAGCAAACCAGCAAGCGTGATGAAGGGTGTCAGGTCTGTTCTTCTTAGCTGAACCAGAGGCAGGTTCCGCCAGAGACGTTCCGAAATATTCTATCTACATATAATAACGTTATGAAATTCTATGTAAAAGAAACATGTTTCGAAGCACTTGCGATGTTAACCAGATCGTGCCTTAGGTTGGGTCCTTCCTTTAAGGTGAAATAGCTATACCGACTGCTAAAGGAAGAAGGCACAACTTTCCAGTGCGGCACTAAATGCACTCGAAAAAGGACAGGCTTGCTGACAATGATGTATTGATGATGTTAATGATGTTATTATGTTTGTTGGAAGTAAGGGTCTCTTTCTATCGCACACGCGCATCAAAGTGAGAGACAAAGATCAGTGTTGATACGCGAGAAAAGAAGGTCCAAAGTATCGAAAGTGTATCGCTATAAGTTCTTTAGTTGTTACGTCGAATATCGATCGCGATAAGTGTATAAACGGGAACGAGGTGCTTAGCGATAGATAATTTATTTTTCGTATATCGACGTGTCTCGAGATACATTTGATACGTATTGTGGACCCTTTTCTCGTTTCTTCGTCTTTTTTTACGTTAACTCTAAGACAAGTCGCACGAGCGGCACTTTTGTAAAAAGTGACAATAATGAATTACGCATTAGCACAACGATAGCCGGGTAATCTGGAAAGATGATGTCTGTACATATCGAGCGTGTATTTAAAGATTATTTGTTATACCCATAGCATCCAAACACGCGTAATTAGTAAATGAGCATTTACGTAAGGTATGTAAGAGCGTAATGTATAGATTGTGTAAAGAATCATTATTGCAACGCGAGTCCTTCGCCTCCAATAAATCGGTCGACATATATCAAAATACAATACCTCCGTTACTTCTCAAGTTTCCTCAATGAATGTGTATGTGTGAGTGAAAGAGAGAGAGAGAGAGAGAGAGAGAGAGAGAGAGAGAGAGAGAGAGGCAGAAACATTGTTGAACGATGTTTTGACATCTATTTCGTTTATTAAATTATACAATGCTTGACTTTATGATTGTCTATTGAAAGATAACTATCCAGTTTACTTAGATTCCGTCTAATTCCATGAGTTCATGAAATTAGACGAAATCTAAAACAGGCGTTTTCTGTGAATTTTCAAAATTACATTTGATAGTACTCGTCGAGACAAAAAAATGATACTTCTTCCAATTTTCTCCAATCGCTTGGCCAAAATGCTTAGAAATTAGTGTGTAACCTATTAAAAAGTAAGAAAACTATTTTTTCGGACATTTCCGATGTCCCATCTCGATTGTCTCAAATTATTTCGATTATATTGAGATGATTTTCGGATATTTTTTCTCATTACTCTACGTCTGTTATTATCTGCGCATTTTGCAAACTACAGTTACATATTCCCAGCCACGATATTCTTACGATAGAGGGCGTTAGTGCATAGCGAGATTTCTCTTGGTACGCTATATCCCGTAAGACAAACGGTCTTTTATTAATATCTCATTGGTGTCGCGTGTTTCCCGGTAATTCGTGCAGTGGCCATTGCTTGGCGGCGCTGCAATCAGTCCGTTTCAGTCCGTTTTGTTGTCGTCAGTCACGTTTACACTAAGTTGTTTTTAACCGGATTTTTAGTGAAATTCCTTTAGTTCGACATCGCTTATCGTAGTCCGAAGCCGAAGTGCGTGAAAATGCTGCAAGACTCGCAGAACGTCCCGACAGAATGTCGCGACAAGTAGGATCGACGAGGGGCACCGTGTAACTACGCTCGGCATTGAGGTTAGAATCCTATAACCCACTTTTCATGACGTTAAACGTCTTTTCCCGTACGTACACATCTATTGAAGAGAAGTGACGAGGTCTTATCTGCGTTTTGTGCTGCAGATAGCAACACCTGTCTATTAAATGGTGATTACCGGTGCCATGGAGAGAAGGATAAAACTCAAGACTCTGAATAGTCACATAACTTGCAAGATATGTCGTGGATATTTGATAGACGCTACCACCGTCACCGAATGTCTGCACACGTTTTGCAAGAGCTGTCTGGTGAAACATCTAGAGGAAAAGCACACTTGTCCAACATGTCAAATTGTCATACATCAATCCCATCCACTTCAGTACATCAGCTTTGACAGAACCATGCAGGATATTGTCTACAAATTGGTTCCCGATCTCCAAGAAAGTATGACTTTTGTTTTATACTCTGATATTTAGGAGAAACCTAGGAGATTTCTTTCCAGATATTAATCCAGAATATCTCTTATTCTAGACGAAACCAAGAGGGAGAGAGAATTTTACAGAGCCAGGGGATTACCTTGTCCTAAGGACATTTTACCTAATGCAGGTGAAGTTGAGGAAGACAAGGCCAATGTGGATACCCATGCTGAATCTGATTATCACCGTACTGATGAACAGGTATGAATGCAGATGCGTATATCGTGTAGAATGTTTGTTCAAGGTTCGAATTAATGGACTATGGATTTACAGGTCAATGTATGTTTGGAATGTATGAATGCTAGTTTGAAGACACTGAAGAGAAGATTTATCAGGTGTTCAGCTCAGGCTACGATAACACATGTAAAGAAATTTATTGCCAAGAAAGTTCTGAATGGCATGGAAAAATATAGGGATGTGAGTACATGTGATCAGAGAAATCCAGAGAGGATATTATTGTTTATTTTAATTGATTTTGTCAACTTTATTGCTACTTTATAATTTCTATTAATCCACACATTTTTCTTGACAGATTGATATTTTGTGCAATAACGAGTTACTAGGTAAGGACCACACGTTGAAGTTCGTTTATGTGACGAGATGGAGGTTCCGGGACCCACCCTTGAGACTACAGTATAGATCACACATAGACATGCAAAATTAATCTTTCCATGTGTGAGCTGTATTGAGGAATCACAGAGAGGACCTACTTTGTACATTTTTTCTAGTTCTATTCTTACCGTATCCATCTCTAGTACTTATTTCTATACGTTTATTCGCGCTAAACACCCGTGTTGAGGTTTGAGGAAAGCCATTTTTCAGTTTTGCCGGAGTTTCAACGCTTAACAACTGCGCTTTCTTTATTATCATCATCGTCGAGTTTACCGATAATTATAAGTACGATCGCGCGTCCGCGTATTTATAATTACGCAATTATACGTACACGATTATACGGAACGATCCGTTTCTTCACGCAAAGTCGAGGATCAGTTGTCAGATGCCGCTTCATCGTATTCGAAGTTTCACACCTTCTTTGTTGTTACCTTCTTTGTTGAAAGCTGGAAGAAGTCTCGATTTACATACAATATATAAATGTGAAACTAGTGCGAAGAAGCGTCGTGACTCCTACAATCTCCTAAAACGCAAAGATTCGCGCATAAGCGGACGAGCGAGACTTTTTGCGTTTCAACAATGCGAAACAAAGTTCACGATTGCTCGTTTTGCATTAAAGAAGGTACCTCTTGTTTTATATAATACATACCCCCGTGGTTTGTACATAGGATATTTTTGACAAAACTCGGACGTTGCGCATAGACGCAAGGCTTCGTATTAGGTGAAAGAAGAAACCGGGTCTGAACGTTCGCGTTTTCGGATCCTTTTTAACTTTGTATGTTTATGCGCCGTACATATTCTAATCGCGCCGTGAGTTCCGCCCGACGCCGACTTTCGTTCTAGAGAGTGCGAGAGAGAGAGAGAGAGACAGAGAGAGAGAGTGAGAACGGGGGAGGGAGAGACAGAAAGAGAAAGAATGTTATTTAATGGCGAGACGTTATATTTTCAAGAGATTCGCCGTCGACGGCGCCGCGCCGAGCGGAAACCGCGGCCCACGTCGCTTGTAGTAAAGTGATCCTGTTTCGTCTAACAATGTTGAGCGAAGAATTTCGAGAAGAAAACATGGTGTGATTGTATATAAACATTAGAGAATACCGAACTCACTTTGCGAAGTAGCGGCATTTCGAGGATGCTAGAGCTTGTACGTTGTACACTGTATATGTGTATCTCTATAAATTATTAAATAAATATGTTTTGTACAGTAACTCGCCGTGTCACGGCCACCCATCGCGAACACGTGACACGACCAAGTCGAGCGAGAGAGAAGGAATATTCCATCTGCACAAGTAATTTCCGGAAAATGTGCGCGGATCCCCAGGGTCACCTCGACTCGTCCGTCACGATATTCAAAAAGCCCGCCCGCATCTCGGATGAATTCGCGCCCCTTTTCGAATGTTGCCGCGCGTGCGCTCACCGGGAACTCATACCTCCGCGAATGGCGCGGTCGAGAGGAGCGCATTAACGACGAGCCTTCGGCCGAATGCTTCGCTTCGTCGGGCTTCAGTTGAATGAAAGACTCCGTGACGGTGGAGTCGAGGCTGCTTCGCCGGCTTTTTTCGTCCCGTTGCGACCCTCTGTGTACAAGTTTTGTGAATATTGCGTCGCGCGTTGCCGTGAGAAAGTGAGTAAAATTGATTCTCTTCAAGCGAACGCGAAATTGTAATTTTGTGCGCATGATTTCGACGCAATAAAATATTAGCGTGCGTCGGTCTGTTGGACGAATGAAGCAACGTGCTTTCTTCCCCTCGCCTTCCCCCCCCCTCTCTCTCTCTCTCTCTCTCTCCTCTCTTTTCTATCTCTTGGCCGCTCTTTGTGTCTTTCGCGTCAGGTTATCGGTATAATCTTCTGAGTCCGACAAGGTCGATCAGCGTCGGATCAAGTTTGATCCCTCGTCCATTTCTCGACAATCATCTCGTAAACCCGCGAGCGGACGATAATTGCGCGCGCCGCAGATGCAAATGCGACGTACAAAGAAACGGGGGAGAAAAAACAGCGTCGTTATGCAAGGCATACTGTGGTAACACACACGCTGCATGTAACCTTGCATGTCTTGTTGTTCGATTTATCGACAGTCAATGAGATTGTTCGAATGAATCGTCTTATCCGTGCGACGCGATAGATAAGGGACTCGCAAGATCTCTCTCTCTCTCTCTCTCTCTCTCTCTCTCCTCTCTCTCTCTCTCTCTCTCTCTCTCTCTCTCTCTCTCTCTCTCTTTCCCCCCTCCCCACCTCTCTCGGTCTCTTTCTCTTCTGTTGCTCCGATTGTTCCCGTCAGATCGGCGTCCCACGTATTATCGTTGTCAACTGCTCAACGATGACACGACGACGATGATGATGATGACGTCGAGGAAGCGTCAATTTAAAACATGCTCCTCTTGTGAGTTCGCGTTACTCCGAAACTCGTGAACCTATTGTTTGAAGGTGTTTTATTTAGCGCGTAGCCCGGTTTTCGCGTGACTTCTCCGACCGTGCGACGATTTGCGACTCGGTTTGTAAGTACACGGAGAAAACACACATATGTTTCCTTCTCCATCGAATCCTCTCCAGTTTGATCATTTCTTCTGATAGTCCAATTGTAGATTGTCAGCAGAGGTTACCTTGTCGAGAAAGACGGTGAATGTTTTCACACTGGAGTTACCGACGATTAACGCGACCTATTTCCGCCTATTACATTTTTATATTTATTTACTTATTCTAGTTTTATTCAGTGTCCGTCCAACTTTTAATCTTGTCTAATGTCCAAGAGAGAGAAAGACTGCCAATAATAACGACTTCGGTTTCCAAAATATAAATAGCACGTTCGAAACGGCAGGGTAACACAAATCGAGGTGGAACGTCGACATGTTCCTCGTTTGGAAAATACTGCAGCGACTTTTTTACATTGTAACATTGCTCTCCGTGCAACGTACGCACACGCGACACCAAATTATTGGAGAAAGTGCCCTGTCGTGCGTGTCTAATCGTCTCGTCACAAATACCTTAGCTCGCATTCTTGGCCATTGCACCACCCATCATCGTCCGTTATCGATCGATCGATCGATCGCCGGTTAAATCAAAGTCAAATTCGGTCGCTCTTGTAAGTCTTCTGTTGGCCTCCGAGGCCGTTGGATGCGCCGTTTCCGTCGCTGCGAAACTTCAGCTTAATTTTTGTCTATCGGGACTGCGCACGCGTATATATAATCCCTGTTTTTCTTACCACACTTCGTTCTCACTTTTCTTACCTTTTATCGTGCAATTTATCGTGAAATTCGCCTTGTGAGATAGGCGTCGATAGCCAATACACGTGGAAGGAAGGAAGGAAGGAAGGAAAGATCGCTCTTGTCGCCCCCGCGCGTCGCCGAAGTCAAAGCCCACCAAAAGACGTGCATGCGGTGTATTGCATCGAGTGTACGCAAAAGTGGAGCGAGCAACACGATTTTCAAGCTGTGCAGCGGTGTTGTTGACGAGGCGCTTGAGACCAAAGTCCTTGGCTTCGGTAAATGCGGACGGTCTCATGACGGAGAGAAGCAGTACGGCTCTCCGTCGGCCGATGGCTCGGTAGAAAAATTCGGTCGAGTGCCTCCGACCGGTTTTCCTTCCTCCGCCTCTCCCTTCGCCGAGAGCCCGTTACCTCGGTTACGCGCAGGTATGTTTTGTACGGGTACCAGATCTTGCGCGTCCTTTGCGCCTCGCATTCGCATCTCGCTCGTTCGCGATAAAAGTCAATGTCGTCGGGTTATAATCCAGGCACACCCAATTACGGTTGGCCAGATGGAAAATGGCTATTTCCGGGATATCTTTTAGGCGACAGTTGAAAAATAGATTGTTAGAGAATTTTAGTTCAATTTTTGAGAGATGGAGGGAGATAAGACGGTTAAGAGATGTCGTCGTGCACTTGCAAAAGTAAATAAACGCGTGAATTAGCTACTAGCAGAGAGCAGTTTAGACATAAACCGTGCGATTGAATTTTTTTTACCTTTTTTCTTTTTCTCTTTTTTTTTTTTTCTTTTTTTACTACACAAATGGCTTACTTGACATCGATTTTCTCAGGTGGCACGTCAAATTTTTGGGTCTTATAAATCAATGGTGACTGCCCTCACATTTCTCTCTAATAGTAACAGTTAAAAACATGAGTGTTATGATTATAATTTTGTTAAAATTTTGATTTTCCGGGACACGGGACATTAAAAATCCCGGAGATCCCGGCCATCTGGCAACCCTACACCCAATAGAGCTCCTAAATATTCAGACATGACTATCCCTCAATTCAAGTTTGGTTCCAACTTGGAAAACTTGAAACCACACCAAGCCGGATTATTGATTTTTCCAAGCATGCTTGTCGATAATTCGACAACGAAAAATGCATCGTACTCATATTCGATTCGACCCGTTCGATTACACAGGTGATTCCCGAAAGGGCGTTCGCGTAATTGACACCGCTAATAAAAATTCCATCGTAAGGGACGAATCTCGTTCACGCGCATGTAAGCGCGCGGATTCTATTTTTGGCGGCGCGTCAGTAATCGCGCCTATTTTTGACCGCGTTATACGCGAAGTGTATGAGACTTTCGAAGATGTATGCGCGATATGGGCTCCCCGGAGAAGAAATATCGTAATATATCGTCGGAAATACGTTCGTTGTCGTGGAACGATCGCGTCCCGATGACGGCTGTCCTCAGCTGTCACAACAGCGATGGGCCGCGGCCAATCGTTGTTTTGTACCGCCGGCCGGAAAACTCGCGGTTCTTTCTCCACGTAAGACGAAAGTGCATGTGGATGCAAATTAAATCAATGACGGGTCACGAGAATCGTGGCTAATCGCGATGCAAACGTCAGCCACGCATGATTTATGCTTGCGCGATTCGCGAGTGTTCCATTTATGAAACGCAAAAAAAAATATCGTTCAATCAGCGAGCTCGATATACCGAAGTAAGAAGAAGATATGTGACTGTATCGTCGTCTTCGTTGATAATACTGCTAGCACTTGAAGTGAGATACATATACAGGGTGATTAACAGCCCCCGAGAATTGCGCGATCAATTTTAACCCTTTGACGATCCTTAGATCCTTAGGGGTAACTTTGAGCATTTTTCAAATGGATAAACTACAGTGGTAGATTCGACGACATCGTTTTTTGATCCAGCTTCTAGCGATTGTTTAAATCGGAAAATTATTGAACTTTTCATGATACAAATATAGATAGCATTGATCAATGATACGACAAAATTTCTCCCTGGAATCTCTTTTCGTAGGATTTCGTGATGAACGTTTATGTTTTGTCGGCAGCAGTTTGGATTAAAAACGAACGACTGAGCGTATCCAGACGGACACATGTTTGTCAACGTGACGCTGATAAGCTATTAATCCGTCTACGCAAACTGAGCGGAGATTCGTTTCTCCGAATATTACTCGCGCGAGACTATCGAGATCCAAGCGCGCTCGTCGATTTCAGTGTAAGGCATAATTAAAAACGCCAGTCTCGCCACTGAATGCCACCGGGAAGTGAATCACTCATATTTTTCTCATTGTCAACACACACTGTAAATATCTATCTCGACCGCAAGCGCACGTCAACTGACTGCACGTATCTCAGCCGAGCAGCATCCAAGCGGGGTGATTCACACATTGCATGCTTATCGATAACACGGCCATCACTTTTTCCATTTTTGCATAAATTATAAAATCAACGAGGTACATCTTTGTTAACAACGTGCCGGGGCGCGATTACGGAGTTCAAAACAGAGCGCATCCTCGGGGCTGTGCCATTTTCTCGACTGTGTCGTTGAACACTTGGCGGTCGCGCCTCAAAACGCGCGCGAAACGTGAGAGAACGTGTAGCTGCAGTATGCCGCGATGATGGAATGACGCGCGGCGTCATTGAGGAGGAGAAAGAGCGAGGAGGAAAAGTGAGGCCATGAAAACGAGGGACGGAGCCGGGAGAGAACAGAGCTATTCTACCCGTATAGTTCGAAACCGTAGCGGATGAATGCAGGCATCGTTCTATCTCCCGCTACTCGCCCCCGCTCGTAGCATGAATGGCGAGAGCGCGACGTACACGAGATAGGAAATCGTGCAGCACCGCGCTGGAAACGACCACGGGTTCGCGTGTTCTCAAGTGTCTAGGCATCGTGTCATTTTAAGCGCGATGTCCATTTAAACCCCCCCCCCCGTCTGCAATAAGTGTAGCGAGCCTTCAGCTTTTTGCTCGAGATCCAAAAGTATAACGTTATTTTCGGCTAAAGGTGTTTCTTCGCTGTCCCCGAAAATCCTACAATTAATCCTTATGCTGTACGCGGGCTGGCCAGATCCCGCCTGTTCGGGACGGCGTGGAAAGTGTCTTTCCCGAAAGTGCCAGAAATTATATCATAGGATTTGGAGAAAAAGGCCTTCGTAGATTTGCTTTGGAACAAACTGCCCATGGTGCGCACTGGCGACACATTCGAGCTGCAGCACGCGAGTGTTTTTACAGCATGATGGCTCATTTTCACCGACTCTCGAGAATTTCGCAGGAAACACTCGGCAAACGACACTTGTGCGTAAATCGCGCGATCCGACACGGCGACTAGCTCGCGATGATGATTCACTGGTATTGAGTTATTAGGACGCGGAAGCGCGTTGTTTATCACCTAATTATCATAATAATAGCCCCGATCCTTGGCCCCGACGGAAAGTCTCCCGAGTTTGTCACTCGCGGCTCGGCTCCGGCCGGGGCGAGTCGGACTGGAATCGGCGCGAAGCTGATCGATCATGAATCTTTTCCTCTACAACGCGATACATTTTGTTCCGATACTTATCAGCATAAATGACAAAGTATCTCGTAGACGTAGAGTACTTGTTTCTCGATATATTCGTCTTAACAGTGTGGTAACAGTGTCATCTTAACATAGAATGACGCGCGCAACAGTTCGATAGTTGTGAGACCAACGGCGATTCCGGTCGATCGACCTGAACGAAGTAATGGTTCAACGGTAATCGTGACGGTGTGTTCGCACGCACAGGCATCGTCGTTGATTAAGATAGACCCACGCGTGCCACACCGTGACTAGATTTTCCGGGAATGACGACGCGACTGGCTGGCTGATCGGCCATATCTGTCGTAGCAGCGTTGGTACACGTCAAGGCCGTCTTCAACGTCGGAACGGCCAATTGTCGCGACTTCCGCGTATCCGTTCCATCTACCACCAGTCTACCACCAGTCGCGAACTGCCAGTTTTGCGGAACGTCATATTTCTGCGTATTCATCTGGGCCGCTTCGCGCTGGAGTACTCCGGTATGCCTTCACACCTCCTCGACTCGACGTCGCCAATGTTCGATGTCGCGAACGATTACAGTCTGCAGACTGTATGCTCTTCTAAGGTGTCGGGAGCATGCTCGAGAGAGAGAGAGAGAGAGAGTCTACAGTTACTTCCAAAGTTCACACGCGAATACAATGGCGCGCAATAAACGAGCGCGTAACTCGAGCTTATTCCCTCTCCCTCTCTCTTTCTCTTTGGACTCTACACGTCCAGCTTGATCGTATATATTAACCGCTAAATATGCTACCGTCCGTCCTCCTAATTCTCGAATAACGTTGTGTCGGATGACATGCCTGTTGACCCCGGCTCGTGTTTTACACGCGTGAACATACGCGCGTGCGCGCCCACGCATCAAACGTCCCGGCCACGCGAAGTAGGCATGAAGCGAACGCGATGTCTGAAAATTGCCACGATGCTTCGGGTAATCTTTTTAGTAGTGCTCTCGGTGTGTGTGTGTGTGTGTGTTATATCCGGATATCTTTCACGTCCGTATCGAGAAGAAATCTCAGTTCGTGTAATCGAACCGAGCCAGGCGACAACACGATTTTTATCACGAGATGCGGCAGCGTATCTCGCATCAAATATACACAGCGCAATACACTTTTAATGCTCACCTGGATATGTCTTGGGAGATATATTTTATTCGGAAAAATATTTCAAGCTACTTGACTTGAACAGGGTCAGTTGGCCGAAGTTGGCGGTTTGTAGCGTGTTCTCTTGAAACCAAACAGCTTTCGTTCGAAACATTTTTCCAAACGATGCATTTCTTCACAAGAGATATTTTAGATGGATCACCTTACATAATGCAACAATAGCACGATCGACGACGCTACCGTGTGTCCTTTCTAGAGAAACGCTTTTCCGAACGTAAATCGAATGTAAATGTGATTTTTAAGTAAATTGATTTCTCGACTCCACATCTAACGCGTCTAAAGTTTTATACCGCTAGCCAACTTTCTCTCTACCAAACTTTTCGAGTTTTCGAAAAGTGGATATTTCACATAGGCGGCGCCAAGGGTGGGCCCTGGCCCATCCAAAGATTTTAGAAAATCTTAGCATAATTATACTGTCCTATTCTGTGCAAGTTTTCAGCTTCTTTATATAAAGTTATTTTTATAACTAAAATTCTACAATTAATTTTAAATTCTATCTTCATAGTTAATCTCTCCCAGAGACAAAGCGCAGAGACAACGGTTAGAAACATTAAAATGAATAATAAAATGATATATAATATATAATAAATATGGCCCATTCATATAAACGCTGGCTCACCTGTCGCCCAGCATGAGTAGTTCTGGCGCTACTTACGATATTTCACCAAGTGTTTCATGTCTCACAGCGAACAGTATAACAAGAAACGACATCTGTTATCGCATGACTGAAAACATGTGTTTGAACGGTCGCATTAATTCTCAGTTAAAATAACGAAAAAGAATGGAATAGATAGAAACTTCCTATCGGGCAGGTATTATACTGATAAATATTTGAAAAGGCTTCCAACCTCAGGAACGTTCGGATATTTTCTACATTCCTGTCGTGCTTTTCAGAGAATTATTCGAAACGGAATTATCTGGGAATTAAATGGGATTATTCCGTTCAAAAAGTTTTTCCTGAATAAGCGCAAAATAGGGCCAGCCTTACCTTAAAGAATGAAATACGCTACCAGTACGAGAAAACACAGGTTAACAATGAGTGCCTCTGTACGCTCTCAGAGTCGATAACTCGAAACGAGAGCGGTTAACTTTCACGCAAACGAAACGTCGCCCCGTCGTCTCGGATACAGTAATTACGTCCGCAATAACCATCGGAGATTACCGCTCTCGGGCGTTCGATAATAAATTATGAACAATACGTTCCCCATTCACGATGAACGGTTGATTGCACATTCCAAGGCTACTCACGTAGTACTTACGCGAACTTGAAGAAGACCGCCGACCGATAACCGGGTCATCCATAATTAATCGTCTACGTGCGCGGTTTCGCGCATCTATTTGCATTCCCGCAAAGTTTTCATCAAACGACGTGACTCATGCGCGCGCACGGCTGCACTCTTTGTTTTATCGATGCTATCATCACCGCCGATATTACTAACACGTACACACACACACACACGCAACGAGTATGTGAGTACAAGTAGCAAGTAGGTCTCTCGGAGAAAAAATAGGTCTTTGAAAGATCATCCTTTCGAACGGATCTCGTCTCGGCTCGGCGGAAAGCAGGTCGCGTAGATATTATTTTTTCTTTTTCGTACGTAGAGAGAGAGAGAGAGAGAGAGAGTTCGGCGTGGCCCGGTACCGCCTGGCCGATAGCGTAACACTCGCGAATTGCATGGCTTTCACCAGAGAGTTGCACTCGCAACACCTCACTCTTATGTAAGAGGGACCCGCACGATTCATTCAACCACGGAGGGTTGTGTGAAGCGACGTGCGTTCTGCAGAGAGTTCTTCCTCCGTTGCATCTGCGAATGTGGTCGAGCTTTGTGGTTCCAACTTTCCTTCGTAGGGAAACCTTTTCACGAAGCGAATGAATATTTTAGACCGCTTACATACGTGAACATACGAACGCTCAAGCTCGACAGCCTTCTCTCTGTTTGCGCTCGCTGATGTATCTAGCCGGTCTTCTTACAGTAATCAAATAATCGTTTGTAACAGTAAACTAGATAACGACAACGCTATGTCGCCTGTTTAAAATATAGTCGTTGAAATACGCGATTAGATAAGGGTTTGGAAGAAGAAGAAATTATTTAACGATAGTTTATCGTCCGGTTGTTTGTGTCGTATGTATGCCGCTCCGAGTAATCCGTCCTTTTCCGGTTCGGTCTCTGGAGGAGTATGAAATATCGGACGATGAACGAGCCGAAACAACGGGAATTCGAGTTAGTCGTTGACAATAGTCCAGTTGGGAAAGACATGTGGGAAACATATTGGAGCCTCTTCAGTGATAAATAATATGTGATTCGTGTGACAATAATTTAGTGATAAAATAATAATTAGCTACTAATAATTGCAACAACTTGAAGTGCTCTTAACACTAAAAAGACTGAGGCAGCCAATTTGTGGTCCCTCGCGAAATTCAAACTGCTATAACTTTTTCTAACTTTGCCCCCACGTGATATCCTTCTGTGACTTTTCATCATTTTTCATGTTCTTAATTTTGGTAGAAAAATTTTTCAATTATATAAGATGGTTGAATTTCTATTTAATTGTCTACTTAGAAGGATCGTTGGAGCCAATTTGGCTCCCTTATATCTGATGTTCTCATATGTTTCAAGGGTTTATTTATAAGTTTTATGACTTTAAATAGATGAATAAATATTTTTATGCGCATCTATCTATTTGTTCGCTTGAAAAAGAATTATATGTACATACATATGTACACATAGACATACGTATGTAGTATCTCACCGTTGGCCAATTCATACTCTTTGTAATATTTTGGATTTTGCTGCTATAGATACATGGATTATATACAAAGAAGTTAGGTGTAAAAAAATATCGAGAAGAATCTTTTTACAAAATCTCGCGGAAGAGTTGAGTGTTGCCTCTGTATTGTCCAAAGACGAAAGTCTCAAAATTTTTATTCAACCGAAGAAGAAACTGAAGCCCGACGATGCTTTAGGCAAACGACTATTTTGTCAAACAAAAAAAGTGCAAAAAAATCCATAGAGTTGGAAAATCTGGTTCGTGTAAAAAATTTGTGTGCAAAGAAAATTGTGTACAAATGCGTTTCCTGTAGCACATAATGGCGTTGTATTTCACGTTTAATCTTTCACCAAAGACTAAAAAAAACTCAATATAACATAACTAACAGATTTTTCCTTCAACAAATTAGTGATATTATTGTTAAAACTTTAAATTTTATAATTACCTATACGTTTCGTTTCGTTCCATTTGTTATTTACGAAAAGATATGCTTGGAGCCAAATGGGCTTCTACGGTCCTTCTAGTGTTGACTGCATTAGAAAAAAATCTGTCCAAACTGTTCTGCACAACCCCTTTATATTTGATAACATGTTTATAGAATACATCGCGGTGTCCGAGCATCTCTTATTTTATTTCTTTCGTTTTTCTAATTTCACTGTCGCTGTTCGCTCATCCATTCGTAGGATGTTCCTCTAGAATCGTCGGCGTATCGCAACCTCACGACGCCATTTTCGTCTCTCCATCCTCCAGCGGATTGACCATGGCAATACACCCCGCATCCTTTGCTGCAGAGTGATGCACATCCCGCGCTCGTGCGCGCGGACAGAGTTCGATGTATCGTTTTATCGCGAGTAAACTCGCCTCACATCCTGTAACTCATATGTGCGCACAGACACACGTGTTCGGCACGTACCTACATCTACCAGCACACGTCCCCGAACTTTTTCCTCTGTAAACGAATTAATTCCCCCGCGGGTCGAAGTCGAAGGGTCGCCCCCTCGGGCCTCGGTGCGGCTATTTCGATTCGGAAACGAGCCGCGTATACGCACTGACTGAAATTCGGTCGGTCGGGATTCTTGCCCGATCTGGTCGACGAGTACTTGCCAAATATTTTCTCCATTATGCTTTCTCTCTATCAAAGATCAATTTTTTCTCTCCCACTCTGTCGATCGTGTTACTTCTCCTCAATTCCTCTTTCTCCCTGTTGTGAGAAGGATTTTATTATTGTCGAAAATGTATATTTAATATTTTAAATTTATTATTTTAATTTTTAATTAATTTTTTTATTACATTTATATTATATTTTCATTATTTGTTATTTTATAAATATAATATTTTTTAATTTTTTTTAATTTTATTTCTTTTCGATTAGTTATTATAATATATTATTGACTTTTTACAGAATTGTAAAAATAAATTATAATTAAATAATAAGAAAAATATTTTTATATTTTGTAGAATTTTTTATTTTGTTTTTTAAAAAGGTTAAAATATATATTTTTTTCATTGTATATATATTTTAGCGCTTGGCTTAACTTATTTGATATCAGATATTTTATATAAAATACGTTTTTATTATTAAATTTTTTTATTTTGTTTTTAAAATGGTTAAAGTATAATTTTGTATTATATTTATATTTTTTATTTTTGTTATTTTTTAAATATATTATTTTTTAATAATTATATATTTTTTTTATTTATTTATTATAATATATTTTTGTTTTTTTAGATATATATTAGCACTTGGCTTAACTTATTTGATATCAGATATTTTGTAGAAAATACATTTTTTGTAGAATTCTTTTTAAAAAAGGTTATTTATATGAGTCGCGTGTACTTGGCGCTTTTTTAACCTTATTTTAAATAAGGTAAATTTTTCACGGATTAGATTTTCTTCTCGCATTGTTGACGCATGATTTGACATTCGCGAGGAAATCTCTGAGAAAGATGCACCTCTTAAAAGAAAGGGATATATAGTTATAGGTAGATAGAGATAGAGAAAGAAAGAGAAAGGGGGAGAGGGGGAGAGAGAGAGAGAGAGAGAGAGAGAGAGAGAGCGGGCGAGAGCGGCATTTATTTTAGTCCTAGAGCGAACTTTCTAGACATAAAAGTACTAAAGATTCAGGTGATGTAAACGCATATTAACAATAATAATTATACCAGAAATAATGCAGGAAAAAAGAAGAAAGAAAAAGAAGAAATAAAAGAAAGTAATGTCCGAGTAAGCAGTAACGCACGCGATATATTATTCATGTATAATTATTCACGAATACGAGACAACATTTGCTCACTGTGTGTTACATGGCACGTACAATTAGAGTGGATCCGCGCTCTTACGTGCTCATGCCTGTACATGCGCATGTAACTGAGCTTACGTACGTATGTGCGTACGTCGCCGTCTCTCTTGTCTAACTGCCGCTAACAATCGCGTTATGCACCGTTCACCTCTCGCGCGTCTCATGGATGTAACTGTTACACCGGCGACACATATATAGTTACGAGACAGAGGAAGGAGGAGATGGGAGAGAGCGTATGTTATTTACTAATCATATACGATAATTAGACCGAGATTTTGTACGCGAAATAATACGAGTCGTGTCGTGTGTGCCACGCGTTCGAGGAACATGTTTTTTTTTTAGCATTTTTCCCTGCTCCGGAAAAATACCAGTAGATTGTAATTATATCTTCGTTGAGATCTCGTTTGTCTTACAGCGCGAGAACTTTCTTTTAAATTCCAAGAAAATGCGTGAGAAATCAAGTCAGTGGAGCACATTGCGGAAGAATTATTAACGAATACATAATGGAGAAGAGGGATTAATTAAAAAATGAAATATTTTATTGATGTTTGGAATTATTTGAATATATTATAAATTAATATTTAGAGTAATACGTTTGTTACGTTGATCTTCGCTGGTGATTTTAATTAGAACGGAATTTCAACGTGAAAAGTGGCAGTATTTTCACTCGAAGCGATGGTGATGTTCTACAAGATCATTGCGAAATCTCGCTGGTGATCTCGTGACGACGGCGCGGCGGCCGGGAGAATCGTCTTGAAGCCATTGATCTAATGTTACAGCACTTCCGGTCGCCAGCAGTCGTATATCGATTAAGCTGTTCGTGGCTAGTAATGTGAATCATAAGCACGAGTCACGTCATGACAGAAACCAGTTGAGGCATACCGTGTGTGCCGCACACGTGTGTCGTCTCTGATTCACGTATTTTACTCGATCGTCGAGGCACCACTTCCGGTCGTATCATGCGGCCAAATGTAACGAACTTTATCGACCTGACAAGTTTCGGATTCGGACTAAATGGAAACGTCAAATAGCTCGTCGATATTTCGAGCGTTATCGTTATGTCGGCACCGATTTCACGAAATTCAACAGAAGCGTCTTTTCGTCTAGTGAAGAAAGAAAAATTAAGAAAAATGATACATATGTGAAAGAAAACTGAAAGTAAAATTTAAAGATATGGTATAAAGTAAATATATTATACACACAAATTCCTCCGCCGTCTGCTGTCGTCGCGCCATCGCTAAGATTTCTTATCGGAGATTTTACATCGAGATTACGAATTATTTCCGACTTCCGTTCTCTCTCGTTTTTCCATCCCGTATAAAGGAAAGTAGAATAAAGACAATGAATAAGAAAAGAGAGAAAAAATCTGTGTCGGGCGCGAGTTCTCCGTGACGTTTCAACTCGCGGAATCATGACTCGCACAACATGAGTGCAGCGTTGTCGCGCTATCGGATCGTCGCGATCGTCAGAAATGCACGGATCGATAAAATTATCGAATCGTCATATCGGCATAGCAATTTCTCGCGTCTTTATTGAAATATCACACCTACATCGCGTGAGCTCCCAGGCAGAATCGGTGACACGATGTCGAGTCGTGTGCCGACCGATGCGAAACACGACAAACATATTTTTCGCCAAGGCAAGATTCGCAACCAGACACCGTGCATATCAACGGCGGATGCTCGTGCATTTGTATTAAGCGTGATTCACACATAGTATGAAGTTTAAAGTCGAGTGAATGCGATAATAGATTTTCTTCGAAGCGCTATTCTAATGTGCGCTCCGTGGCCCACAACAGTGAATGCATAATCCGGGAGCTGTCTCTTTGTTTTCTTACAATATGTATTTTTTTTTTCTTTATATTCTTTATATTATACTTACATATCAGTAGCTGCGTAATCTGATTTGTATAGATGCAACGTCCTTGGAGGAATTTTTCTAAACGTCGATAAGAGCATTTATCTCTCTCTCTCTCTCTCTCTCGTGCTTGGCAGGCAGGTAAGTTGGCTCGTGCATTTTGTCGTAGCCAGCCGGTAATTCGCCAAGTAAGTAAATCACGCATTGCGACACGTAATAACGCCAGCTCGGCGCATTTTACTTTCAGATCGCGGGAAACGAGTCGGTCACTTCTCCCCTGCCTGGTCGTATGCGAATTTCGTGGCGAAATACCACGCTACGAAACGCGGGAAACATCGTCGCTGCGATAGTCGCGCGCGCGCGCGTGAGCGCGCGCGAGTCGATGGTGCGATGAGCGAGCGATAGCGCGTGAGTTTTGGGCCTAGTCTCGAATTCAAAGTCGTATCAATCAGCTAAAATGGGATCAGTGGCCTGTTGGTTGACCGCAGCTGCCGCTATGCTGACCTTGATTGCAGCGGCGGCAACGGCTCTCGAAGGACCCAACATCTGCACTCGGAAAGAAAAGTGAGTGCGTCAAGTTGAATTTCAAATTTATTACTGCTCTATTTATAAAGGATCCCATAAAGCGCGCATACAACACGCACAGCAAATCTTTTATAATGTTATAAACATTAAATGTATATATAGAAGTATATAATTATTATATAAATTCAAAATTGGAGTCGATAAACAATGCTTTTTGTGTCATGAAAAGTTCTGGTTCTAAGACAACGTTACATTCTCTCATTTTGCAAAATGTTTTCTTATGTGTTATACTTTAATAACATTTCGAGTCTTCTCGTCACACCTGGTTGTCGTTACGCTCGTTTGATCCACTTGGATACGTTAATAATCGTTAAATGTCTTCGATTTAGGTATACGGTAACGGTGAAAGTCTCCGTGCAGGAACCCTACACAGTGAGGGAAAACACATGGTGTTTCAGTTTTCCGCCGAGATGTTCCAAGTACAAAATTGTCTATAGGACGGAGTACAAGATAGAAGTGAGTACTCACTCGCTCAAAGATAACGAAACATTTTTGTTTTAATTCGCGTGAAACCATTGTGTTTATTAGAAACAACTCCCACTTCATAGGCCACTTGGTTTTTAAGTAACAACGTCAAATAGAAACTCAACTTATGTGAATATAGAATGAAAGATTATCTATCATCGTCATACATACGTGTGAGCTCGGCTTTTCCCTGAAAATTAGCGCGTTACACATGAACGAGACGCGTGCTAGTAAATGTGTTAATCTACGAACAAGTTTCGTTCGAATGGGTTAGTCAGCAAGAAGTTCGGTTGAATTTTTTTTCGTTTCAGTAGAGCTTGATTTTATCGTATTTTATTAATTTCAGTATTAAGATTTTTCGAGGAATTTTTTAATTTAAAAAATTTTTATACATTCTCTTTTTCTTCGGTCCAATCGCCTGTCCGCCGGACGAATTCAACCGAACTTTTCGACTGATATATCTGATATATTTCAACAGACATGTTTGATGTTATTGATAACTGGAATAAGCGAGTCTGGTAAGCGATCGTTTGTAATTTCTCTCATTGTGCTTTTCGTTTTTACGGCAGGAATTCACGAAAGAAAGGCCTGTGGAGGAATGTTGCAAAGGTTATACGAAGACCACGAACGGCGATCGTTGCATTCCAGTCTGCTCTGAGGACTGCCGCTACGGCACTTGCGTCGCGCCCGACGTCTGCAAGTGTGAGTCTGGATACGGGGGGCCGCTGTGCAACTACCGTGAGTTTTTAAAATTCTCGTTTTTATCGGTGCATAACGATGAAAGGGCTGCGCGTTCCATCGGTGGTGATAATTTCACGGTCGCACGAGGCACATTTCTGTTGCGTTTTCGTTGGCAGCCTCGACTTGGTTCGCGTTAACATGAGAATCGCGTTCAGAGATAAGAGAAACACTCGGTGAATAATGACGAAAATATAACGCGCACGACGCGTACGAGTGACTCGACGACTCAAAAGAATGCTCCGTGCGCCTCGCGATATAAAAGACAGCGTCGTATCAACGATGTTCCCGTTCGTGAAAGTTGCTAACCGCTTCGTGGTCCTATTTAACAACGAATCCATGAATCGAGCTATATAACCCGTGAAGTGCATTTATTTGTCCTTCTCTTATCTTTGGTAATTAAATTTAAAATATAATCAATTTAATTTATAAAATATAATCAATTAAATTAAATATATAATCAATGGGGAGATCACCGTGCGAAGGATCAGAATTTAACACTAGAGAGACCGGATTTGACGACTCCCTTAAAAGGACCGTAGGAGCCAATTTGGCTTCAAGCATATCTTTTCGTAAATAACAAATAGAAAGAAACGAAATATATAGGTAATAATAAAATTTAACGTTTTAACAATATTATCACTAATTTGTTGAACGAAAAGAACTGTTTAGTTATATTATATTGAATTTTTTTGTCTTTGGTGAAAGACTAAACTAAAATACAACACCGTTATGTATTATAGAAAACGCATTTGTACATAATTTTCTTGGTATATTTGTCGCATACAAATTTTTTATACGAACGATATTTTTCAACCTTGCGGTTTTTTGCAGTTTTTTTTTTTTATTTGACAAAATAGTCGTTTGCCTAAAGCATTGTCGGATTCAGTTTCCTCTCCGGTTGAATCAAAATTTTGAGAGTTTCGTCTTTGGGCAACATATGGGACACTCAATTCTTCCGTGAGATTTTGTAAAAATATTCTTTTCGATATTTATTTACACGTAACTTCTTTGTATATAATCCATGTATTTATAGCAGCAAAATCCAAAATATTATAAAGAGTATGAATTGGCCAACGGCGAGATACTATATATGTATGTCTATGTGTACATGTGTATGTGTACATATAATTCTTTTTCAAGCGAACAAATAGATAGATGCGCATAAAAATATTTATTCATCTATTTAAAGTCATAAAACTTATAAATAAACCTTTAAAACATATGAGAACATCAGATATAAGAAGGCCAAATTGGCTCCAACGGTCCTTGTCTAAGTAGACAATTAAATAAAAATTCAACCATCTTATATAATTGAAAAATTTTTCTACCAAAATTAAGAACATGAAAAATGATGAAAAGTCACAGAAGGATATCACGTGGGGGCAAAGTTAAAAAAAGTTATAGCAGTTTGAATTTCGCGAGAAGCCAAATTGGCTGCCTCGGTGTCTTTCTAGTGTTAAGAAGCTGCTGATGGGAGAACAATGGTCTTCCAAAGGCATGAAGCCGACGGAAATGAAAATTGATTACTTGACTTAGCGCAGATTAGCTTAGATGTTTCGCTTCTCATTTCCATGTGTATCTCTTCTCTCCCCTCCCCGTCCCTCTACTGTATAAACAGGCTGTCCGTTTGGAAAATGGGGCAGGGATTGCGAGATGAATTGCAACTGTCAGAACAATGCCACCTGCGACCCATTCGACGGCAAGTGCTTGTGTACGCGCGGCTGGACGGGCGTGTACTGCGACCAAAAATGTCCTCCCGACCGCTACGGACAGGATTGCTCCGAAAAATGTCGCTGTATGAACGGCGGTAGCTGTCATCACATTTCCGGCGAGTGCCACTGCGCCTCCGGCTATACTGGGCCGTTGTAAGTTCCTCCGCTGATTCTCTTCTCAGCGCCTTTACGTCTTTTTATCAACCGTCGTGCGGTTCTTCCGCATCGCGGAAGCCTCCGAAGCACTACACTTTTTTAGTTGTTGCTTATGAGACAACGCATTAACGACAACAACATTCAACCAACCTCTGTTTGATAATTGACGAATTCTTAATTTTCTTTTAATCGACGTTGCATGCAGATGCGACGATTTGTGTCCGCTGGGGAAGCACGGCGAGGAGTGCAAGTCTGAGTGCAGTTGTCAAAATGGTGGCTCCTGCAGCCCCACGACCGGTGATTGCGACTGCACGCCCGGCTGGATGGTACGTAACATCTCACATTTGCAATCTGAAGCTGAACGGTCAAACTGGTCCAGCCTGATTTTGTTATTAATTAGTGCCTATTAATTTAACATCCTCGACGTTTGCCCGCAGGGTAAGGTCTGCGCACACCGATGTCAGGAAGGTTTCTGGGGCAAGAATTGTTCCCTCAGCTGCGATTGCTACAACGAGGCTAGCTGCCATCACATCACGGGCGAGTGTCAGTGCAAGCCAGGCTTCTACGGTGATAAGGTAAATGTCGGATCGACTTTCAACTGTCGAGTGAAATTTTACTTCGAGATAAAGAGAATAGAGTAAGCTGGATAATGAATGCAAATAGTGAGAACAAGTGTGTCGAGTGTAATGCTGTATTTCTACGAATCGAGTCGGGAGTCGTGTGCGAGTCTATACAACTAATCCGTAGAACGTGATCCGTAGAACGACGATAAGTGGTCGACGTGTTCTCGCTCGCATCAACATTTCATCTGACACTTCGACCCGCGACGCAAACACATTTGCATATCAGACAGTTAATATACGTACGTTTTCCCCTCAATGCGCGACAGTGCCTGAAGATCTGCCCGGAGGGGAAATTCGGGCTGAACTGTTCCCAGGACTGCAGCTGCGAGAACGGCGCTACTTGTTCTCCTATAAACGGTACCTGCATCTGCGGTCCAGGCTGGGTGGGTGAGACATGCAACAAGAGTGCTTGCGAGGACGGCCTGTACGGTGCCAATTGCGCGAAGGTGAGTCACCACGAGTTTTCTGCTTGGCGAGCCGCCGGCAGCTTCCGCGATGTTTCGGCCGACTGATGAAGCTACTGAGTCTGTGACGTTCCGCTGGAATAGGTGTGCCAATGTGAGGAGGTGAACACGGAGTTTTGTCATCCCTGGACGGGACAGTGCTTCTGTAAGGTGGGCTGGGATGGCGAGAACTGCGGCAGGCCGTGTCCGCTGTACACGTACGGCAAGACATGTCAGAATCGCTGCGACTGCAAAAACAACGCGCAGTGCTCACCAATAGACGGCACCTGCATTTGCGCTGCAGGCTACCGCGGCAAGGACTGCAGCGAGTTGTGCCCGGAGAACACGTTCGGCGAGGACTGCGCGCAAAAGTGCGCCTGCAAGAACGGCGCCAGCTGCTCGCCCGAAAATGGACGCTGCAACTGCACCGCTGGTACGTAAACGAGAACTCTCTGTGTCGCGCGAATCACCCAAGACGCGGTCTCTCTCATCGGGTCTGTAATGAATTCTTTGAGTCCTAGTTTTGGTCCTTTGATCTCTTTCCGATAGTTTTTGTTGATGGATGTTGGCATATCCCCTTTCAGCATCTTCAGAGCTTTTAATTTTAAAGTTTTAGTTAAATTTCAAGAAAAATCCCTGACTAGACTTATTACTTGAGTACGTTATATCTTTTGATCATATCGCTTCTTTTAATCCACTTTCCTGATTTTGCATTTATACTGCATGTGACACGATGTGTAGACGATTGACAATTGAGTTTGTTTGATGTTTGTTCGATGTTCGTACTCTCTTGATCGTCTCGTAGCTCCTCCGTAGAATTTACTTGGATATCACATATCCACAGTCCAGAAACGTTTCGCAAACGGTCGTGAAACGTGAGATATACTTGAAAAACGTGCCGGTACGTGCTGTCAGGGTATTACTATACTGCAGCGGTATTTCATCGGCAGAAGTAATTAGATTTCTTATCCATTACCATACAAATTGATCGCGACTTTCGCTGTATTCGCTGTATTATTAGAAAGAGAGAGAGAGAGAGAGAGAGAGATAGCCGATATCTCGGTAAGTATGATAGATTACATATATCCTTGATGTGACGTTTTACCAGGATGGGACGGCGTATTGTGCGATCGTCCGTGCGATGACAAGTCCTACGGCAAGGATTGTGAGAGCAAGTGCAGGTGCTTTAACAATGCAGCCTGCAATCCTCAAAACGGTAAGGCAATCGCTTAATGAGCTTCTCTGTTTCCGCGTCCCTACGACATACGGCCGTAATCGAGTGTCTCCCACGTGTCGAGATATTGTATATTTCGAGAGAAAATTGCTTACGAGTTCTTTCACTTTTATATTTACTTCTCTTCTCTCTGCACCTGCACCGAGAACACCGCGCGTTATCTTATCTATACACGTAGGCACGTGCACGTGTGCGGCTGGCTTTACCGGCACACTCTGCCAAGATCGTTGCGAAAAGGGCCTCTTTGGGAACGGATGCAATCAGACCTGTGACTGCGTCGACGAGAACACTGTGGACTGCGATCCGGCCACCGGACATTGCAATTGCAAGCCAGAATGGCGAGGTTTGTCGAGTTCGCTCTTCGCGTTCGAATTTGTTGCAATTTCGTCGTTTTGTCTTACGTTTCGGCGAAAACTTTATTAGTAATTGAAGATACGACGGTCCTCTATCGCGATCGAACTTTTGTGTTTTATCGAATCGTCAAAAAATCTCATCTTCCTGTCGTTTCCAAATCTATATGTTATTAAATTTTTAGAAAACTTTCCTCTTTGACAGCAACCTCACAAAATGTGAAAAGGATCATTCTCACGCTTATATCAGCGATTATTTTCTTGTAAAAATTAGTTGTAAAATTTTTGTACGAAAGTAGCTGCCGATTGCGCCAATCTTTTGCGTCAACCTGAAAGTAGCAATATCGTTTGGAAAGAAAGTAAAAGAAAATTAAAGGCTAAAATGAGTTATGAGGAAGCTGCTTTGAGACGCGGCGAAACGAAGGATCGAGTCTCGTGACGGGTATTTTTTTCTTGCTTTGACGTGAAAACAGGAGTCCGATGCGAAACGAAATGCCCGGAGGGTCTTTACGGAGACAATTGTCACTCGCATTGCGACTGCATGAACAATAGCTCGTGTGACCCGATGACTGGCCGTTGCGTCTGCGCCAGGGGTTGGGAAGGTGACGATTGCTCGCAATCCTGCAAGGAAGGATGGTACGGTCTGGGATGCAAGGAGAAGTGCCCGAGGAAGATAAACGGTAAACTGACGAGTCTCGCTCAGTAGAATAGAGCCGACATAGTCTCGACATAGTCGCACGACATAGAACATTCTGACTGTATTCGCCGTAATCGAATTAACGCTAAACCGCATGATTGTGTGATTTCATAGACTATCGATAATCTTTTACGGTAGATGGTATGCAGATAACTTTGTAATTTTGCGTAGCACAAGTCGAGAGACGCTCGGACGCTCGGAACTCGTACATTCGTGTATATCGTGTGATTAATGTACATAACGGAGATCAACATTTTCGTTGTTGTTGGCGACACGGTCTGTAACATCCGTCTGTACGTAGATAACACGCTTGGATGTGGGTTCTCTCTTACGCATTTCGCGGTACAGCTAATAGAGTTCGCGTTAAAGAGAAACCGATCGACCGCAAGTAGATTGCGCAAAAGCTTACGTAAAACCGGCCCCGTAACACCACTCTACTAACACCGCTCTCTTTCCGTTTATTGCTGGTGATCGTTTTTATCATTGCGTGCTTCTCAGCGAACATTTTCTTGTCGTTTTGATTGTCTTATCTATTTTTCACACAGAGAGAAACATCCCAGTTTGTGTAACTGAAAATGGGAATCAAATATAAAGACTTGATGACAAAAAGTAATATATCTCTGTGATCGCAAATACGAAAAAAATTTTCTAAATCTTTAGTTGCATTAAAATTAGGTGGAAATAATTGAGAGCAGTCGACCGATTAGAAAACCTTCTACCTTTCTATTCCTGCAACTCGGTCTTTCATCTGTGGTTCTCCAAGCAGCAGAAAATTCAGTTACGGCACACGGAAAAAAAATATTATTTTACACTGGATGACTTTAAAATGTACTCGTTGCAAGAAAAACTCATTATCATGCGATCAAAGAAAGAATTTATTCTTCTTTCTCTTGAGAATTGTCGTTCTCTTCGTGTCGCAGGGAACATGACTTGCGACCATGTGACTGGCGAGTACGTATGCCGGCCGGGATATCTGGGTCTCACATGTGAACATCCGTGTCCTCCAAATCGTTATGGGCTCAACTGCGCGAATGAGTGTCATTGCAAGAACGGTGGCGAATGTCATCACGTGACAGGTGAGTCGTCGACATTCTAGACATGTACCTCTAGGTACGATTCTGGAACCTTTTGGACTTTTAGGCTGCGCCAAGGGTAGGCCTGGATAGGCCCTGGCCCACCCAAAAATTTTAGAAAATATTAGCACAATTATGCTGTCCTATTCTGTCCAAGTTTACAGCTTTTTTATATGAAGTTACTTTTATAATTAAAATTCTACAATTGATTTTAAATTCTATTTTCATAGTTAATTTCTCCCAGAAACAAAGCCACAGGCGGCGCCAAGGATGGGGCCTGGATGGGCCCTAGCCCACCTTAAAATTTTACGAAATTTTAGCATAATTATGCTGTCCTATTTTGTCGAAGTTTTCAACTTTTTTACATGAAGTTATTTTTATAATTACAACTCTATAGTTAATTTTAAATTCTATCCTCATGGTTAATTTCTCCCAGAGACAAAGCGCAATGGTTAGAATCATTAAAATGATATATAATATATAATAAATATGATCCACCCTTATGAATGCCCACCTGGTCCACCTGTGTGTGGCCCACCCGCATCAATAGTTCTGACGCGGCCTACGCTTTTGGACTCTCTAGGCTACTTTAACCGAGAGATTTTCATATGTTTCTTGATTAGGTGTGTGTCAGTGTCGACCTGGCTGGCAAGGAAAGTATTGCCAGACACCGTGTGCGGAGGGCACTTACGGGGTGAATTGCACGCAACATTGCAAATGCCAGAACGGTGGCAAATGCAGATCAAACGACGGTTACTGCCGATGCGCGCCGGGATGGGCAGGAACGAGATGTACAGAGAGTAAGGAAGATTTGAAAGTCTTGGCTTACTTTTCGTTTTTACCATAGCGGCAACATTGAATATGATACGATGGTATCTTTCTCGTCGATTTCAGTTTGCCCCGAAGGATCCTACGGCGACCACTGCATGAAGTCTTGCGAGTGTAAGAACGACTTCTTCATATGTCATCCAGCCGAGGGATGCATGTGTCGGCACGGATACACAGGTACATAAGACATGTGTTTGCAAATGAAAGTTATTAATAAGTTTAATATAATAATAAGCATATCGATACACACTAATAATTTCGATTGCATTATATCTTACTAACGAAATTTCGAAGTAATCTCTTCCTTCGGCGTGTGAAACGCAGGTCTGACTGAATAATTCGTAATGATTGATGAATGGCTTTCAGGTCCTAACTGCGACGAACAGCTGTTCTTCCGGAATGTTCAGGAGTCAGAAGAAGGTGGATACGGACACATTGTGGCGGTAGTGTTTGCGACGATCGTCGTGATTTGTGTGGTGCTGGTTGGTTGGATGTATCATCGTCGCCGAGTATCCGATCTGAAGAACGAGATAGCTCAAGTGCAGTACACGGCCGAGCCAATTCCACCGCCAGGTAAGCGGACTGTATTTACAACGTTAAAATTGTTCCGTCGAAAATTTGTCCAAGATCTACCTCAGAAAGATCTATTATAAATCCGAGCAAGATTCAAAGTGCCGTTGGTCTTTCACAGAACGAAATCAGTTTGACAATCCGGTGTACGCGTACCAAGGTTGTTCGAAATTTGACGACGGCACCACCACTCTGCTGAACAACTTCCACTTTCGGAATAATCTCGGTATCAACAAGAATATAAACAATGAGAGAGCCAAGCTAGGTATGAGCAATTGCACCGACGACGAGGACGAGTGCAAAGGTATCGCACGATCTTCTCTCATAGCCACGAGCCCCATGGCAAGTTTCTCATGGGAATAATGTGATTGAATAATCGCGTATCGTTGCAGGCGCGTTCGGGCTGCAGTTCGACCTGAAGAACAGGGACGCCGATATGGGAAATCCGAACCTGAACGTGTATCACAGCATCGATGAAAACGACGGCAAGAAGATTGAGCACGTTTACGACGAGATTAAGCAGAATAATGAGTCTGAGTATGACGAACTGAGTCATCCACGACCGGTTAGCTGGAAACCGTCATCGCACACAAGTCGAACGACCAACGGCTATCTACCGGGTACGCGCGACAATCCAGGCCCGAGCAAACTAGCAGACAAGGACCCGGAACTGGGTGAAACGTAAGGGAGCCGCGGCATCGCCAAGTATTTTTCTAATTTCTTCGACTGCCCAGAATTTTAAGTGAACAACGAGCTTCGCGGTCGGCCCAGCGACGAGGGAAGAAGTGAAATCCGCTTGCCGCAATTTGCTCATAGACTGTTCCCTTCATTTTCAAATTGAGCAAGATCGTTACGTTATCACTTTCCCTTGCCAAGATCCGATAGAATATTCGGTGACGTGCTAATTGAAGAATATGTTATCACGAGAGTGTGCGATCACTGAAAGTCTCGAAGGTACACTGATAGAAAAATATAGTTGAATTAACTATAATCTCACTATATTTTATAGTTCATTTTGGCGTCAACCATATTTTTATAGTTCGTGGAGCCTGCAAAATATAGTAGAACAAACACAAATATATATAGTCAATGATTGTCTTAAATAATTGTTTAGTTACTTTTACCACATATATGGTAATTTCTCAATTCACAAATATAGTGAGATTTAATATTCATGTAGTAGTACATCTGTCATCATTTAACAAATATTCTGGTAATATTGACTATATAAAAGAGTTGCTTTACCTACCATTTTGTATTTGTATCCATACAATAATTTTAGTTTAACTTACTATAATTCTTAGTAAAAATATTATATGGTTGGTTATACTATGCCTGTATCGTAATTATTACCGATATTATGGTAATACTTACTATAAATATGATATTTCGGACTATAATTTAGTTACTATATCATTATAATTCCAAATATCATATACTTTTCTCTCAGTGTACATCCATATTTAATTACCAAAATACGCGTAGCTTTTTACATTATAAAAAATCGTGTTGCATGTTATATTTAAATATATAAGTATGTATGGTATATATATATGTATATATATTGCTTCACATATTATATATATATATATATATATATATACATATATTTTTTATTGTGCGTATATATTTATATATACACACAAAACTTATACACACATATGTGTGTATGTGTGTACGTATACACACATACACATATATATATAGAAAAAATATATAATTAACAAAGATATATATAAATATATACACATATACATAGGAAGAGGAAATTTCTTGTGCATTTATAACATGCGCTCGGCATCTTATGAGTTCACCATGGCAGTATTAATAAGAGAATGAAAGAGAAATCAATATATCGCTCCGTAAGAGACGCGTATTAAGAAAAGGCAGAGAAATCTATATCAAAGAAATCCCTTATGTCGATCGTGATAAGTTTTAAGTTTTAGTTTTCATTTGAAATGTTTATCGATCTCTTCTTCCATTTTCTCGTTTTATAATGGATCGCGATAAATTCGAGAAGGTGAACACATCCTTTTGTACATATAGATATTGTGTAAGTGTAATTTTAACGATTAATTGAATTATTGCACGTGTACATCTGCTCGATACGTATATGCACATTGCCAAAAAGAATGTGAGCAATTTAGCAAGCTAAGAGTGGTGAGCAAATGATAGAAGGAAGATGAAATTGCGAGTAGAGAAATACGTAGAGACCAGAGGACTCTTTTGTCAAGCAATTTTCGTACATTAGTTACGTAGTTATCGACGTTGCAACGGTTAATAAGAAGAATAAAGAAAATTTTATCGATTTTAACGATCGTTGATTCTAAAATTATAGTTTAGTATATTTAGAATAAAGAAACGGAAAAGAAGCTATATGTGGGTTTACTACTACATGTTTGAAAGAAAGCAATTTTATATAGCAATTGCGATAAATTAGTCGATTATTACATGATCGTTACATATTTCTCTGATATATGCACGAACAATCTTCCTGTCGTTTTTATTATATAATCCTACTTAGTCAATGGTAAGACTTTAATCCGGAAGATAGACATGATCGAATGATGCGCGTATAAATTTCAAAAGATTGTCGACATTTTTATAACTTCTTTTTTAAGGACACGCAAGATGTCACGGAACTTGGCGTATTCCGCGCTTGCCTTGCGACTTATCTTGTGATATATAATTCTGCCTTTATATTACTTACATTACTGTTTCTTTTTCTCCTTGTCTTTCCAACCGTTTTCTCTGTCTCGCTATCTCACTTTTCTTTTTCTTCCTCCCTTCTTCTGTTTTTCCCGCTATCTTCACTGTAAGTAGGAACTTGTTGACATTGCTTCCAAAAATAATATAATTAATACTTATACCGGCATATGATCGCATACGCTCTTAGCAGATAAGAGAATTCGCAAATAATAGCATAAATCCACATTAGTAAAGTAAGACAGATCAGTGTGATAATATTGTAAACCGTGCGTTGTTGACGTTTCGAGCGCTCTAAGGAAGATATTTTAATAAAAATTCCAAGACACACTTTTTATTGCGTGATAAATCACACGCAGAGATGTATGCGCAGCGTAAAACCTTTCGTTTGATCGATCAATCAGTTTCATATCAGTCACGAGGAATGATGCCTTAAATTTTAGACAATCTTGTGCAAATTGTGTAATCCACGCGAATTTGCGTGTGTGTACGTGTAAAAAATTAAATATTTAGTTAGTGTTTAAAGATTAAATAACCGGTGTTTTGATTGTACAATTCGCATTGTATATATAAATGTGTGTGTGTGTGTGTGCGTGTGCGTGCGCATGCGCTACCCCATTCTTAAGAGTGGATCTTACAAGAGTGTTTCTTACCATTTAAATGTGCTCGAGATCAATTATGACGGTGACTCTTGATATCTCATCGCCTTACAACTATATATACTTGCACTAAAACATAACTTATTAATTTACGCGATTAAACTAATTAAGCTTGCCTGATGCTCCGCGCTTGTATAATGTCCCAGATGGGCGGCATCAGCCAATAAGATCCGCCGAGAAACTGCAGGAGCGCGACCACTCGAAGGCACACGTTTTCACCTACAATTGTCACAAAGTGCATTCGTAAGAAGCATAAAGCAATTGTAACAAGAACTCAATTGACGTGTTTGCAAGACAGAGTTGCCACTGATACGCACTACGCATAAAGCAGAAGAACAGCATGCCAAGACCGATGAAGGTGGAGAATAGATTGCGCGAACGATGGGCAAACTGGTTTCCCAATACGTCGCAGAGTGTTGAGTCTTGGCAAATGAGCAGGCCATTAATGCTGATTCCACCGAGTAGCGAACACGTGAAGAACCAATAATAGTTGCTGGCGAAAGTCAAGCCTGGGAAGATTATCGTGGTCGATTTAGGGGATAACGTTTCGTTCACTTTCCCTAAATTTTTCAGAGTAAAATTCCAATCGCAGAACAGAACGACTCTCGAGTCGAGTTCCAACGAATTATGCGTGAACGAAAGTGTAAAGATATCTCGTACCTATCAAGACGAGGCTGCCGAGCCAACAAGTGACACCGAAATAAATTCTTCTGTATCGCATCGTGGTGATGATCAACCAGCAACTACCGACACTCGGCAGGAACGTGCCGAAGCCGGCGACAATCAGCAACATCACCCAATCCGAATAATATTCGGGCAACGAGCGTTTCAGATACAAGGTGGGCACCAGGATCCAGAAGAAGAGCGAGTAAGCCTTCATGCCGATCCACGTGACTAGGGCTGCCCAGAAGCGGAAGTAACGGAGCACACGGAACTCTTGCTGCCACCGTTTCGACCGCACGCTCGGATTCACAAACAGCTCCACGTCTTCATCCTCTTGGAAAGCGTAAATGCTGTTGACCTCGCTGAACAACGGCGCGGCGTTCGTGTCCTGCTTGGCGCTGCTGTGGAGGTAGCTGACGTTATTCGCGCTGTTACTCTGATCGTTCGTTTCTTCGGCGATGTCCGGGGCCATTCTAATGCCCAGCTCGTTGTCTTCGTCGCCTGACAAGAGTAACCTACCGACGAAGCGACGCGTCATTATGGCATTATGCTGTTTGCAGATCTTATTGAGGAAGACTTTCGAGAACTAACTGAGAAATATCGCGGGATATTCTTGTTAACAAGACAGCAAAATAGTCGGCAAGCTTGTCGGCATGCGTGAAATCAATTCCTCAACCTCGTTTGTATCCCTCCGCAGTGAAGAAATGTGAAAGGAATGCGAGCATTTTTTAAAAAAGCTGTCACCTGTAAGGAGACGCTCGCTGTGGAGCCGGCGAGCGCAGGGCTAACGTGCCCATGGCAGTCGGGATGAGGGCTGTGGTCATCAGCAAGAGCCCAGCTTTCAAATCAGTCTCCTCGAGAAGGAAGTGCGTGAGCGCTGGCACGAGCGTGTAGCCGAACGAGGCTGCGATATTCTTCAAGGCCAACACTAACGGCAGCCGTACGCGAAAGTGCTTCCGCAGCAGGGTCTCGCTCTGCACGATCACGAAACTTGCGCCGATGCCCATCACCGCCCCTGCGCTAAGGCTGGCCAGGTAAGCGCCCACTCCGCCGGTTGCCAAATATCCAGAAGCGATGATACCCGTGCTGAGGAGACCTACACCGATGAGGCCGACCAGCCGCGGGATCGACGCCAGTTCCGCGATTGCCCTGGTCCATGGGTCTAAATCGTGACAAAGAAGAGAGAGGATCTGGTCAGCGGGGCCAGAGAGAATCGAAGAAAATTGTTCATGATAGACGGAGAGGAGCAGGTACTTTCTGTTTGTCCTAGGGCTTTCCTCAAAAGACGATATCTCTGAAAATCGCGTTATTCACACTGTTTTATGCTGGAACTACTAAAGATGCGATTAGATCAACAATGAACGGTGAAATGGAAACAAAGATAAAGATATAAAGATATAAAGTGATAAGTGATAAAGATATAAATGAAGATGAGAGTGAAAACGCAATAAGTTTCCAAAATTAAATTAAATTAACCCATTAAGGCCCATCCTTAGATCGGTAATGAAAAAAGTAACTTGGATTCCTGGCATAGGTGGTCCTAGCAACGATTACTGATGCTTCAAATGGGTTGAAAAGAAATTCTTTTAAACAAATTGTTGTAAACAAATTAAGAAAAATTAATTTTTCCTCATTTGTTTACAACAATTTTTTAAACGGAAAATCGAAAGTATAACACATGTTTCTTTAGTGATTTTTCCCGTAGAATCGATTGAGGTGGTCAGTTCTTCGGAATTAAATTAATTTTTCTTAATTTGTTTACAACAGTTTGTTTAAAAATTTCTTTTTTCAACTAATTTGAAGCAATAATCATTGCTAGGACCCCGAGTCCTCATGCCAGCCAACCCAATAGTTACTTTTTTCTATATCTTTACTGGTCCAAGGATGGGCCTTAATGGATTAAATGAACTGTGTTTGTCGCGCATGTCGCACTTGTAATGAGAGGTCCATTAATTAGCGACAGAAAGAAAGAGAAACAAGCACCCGCCAAGTTCCAGAAGGCGACGAACAGTATCGGCGTCCAGGTGATCTTCTGACTCCAGACGTCAAAGTCGAGCGCATCGTTCTTAGCCAGGTATCCCAGCACCACGCCGTACATCGAGAGCACGCTGGGCACGGTAATCTGTGAATTCACGAGTATCGGAAATCGAGCATAACAGGGCATTGTACGAGGTCTCTTTTTGTTAACGGATTCGATTATCAGAAATTCGATATGATGAGATTGAGTAGAACTTTAAGCAGTAGATGTTTAACGCTGATCAGAATAAAACTCTAAACACTCCCGTGAGCAAGTTTCGTGAATCGCGAGGTGAAAATTCACGAAACCGCAATCAGACAGCTGTTTCAGCCACGGTTCCGAGTTCCGAGTTGGTCGCCGAGTTGCGGGATCCTGCTGGCAGCGTTTAGACTTCTCCCTTGAACATAAGCGACGAGCGAACCTGAATGAATATGACGCCGAGCAAAACGATCCACGAGTAGCCGCCATCTGGAGCAGTGGGTCCGAGCTCCGGATACGAGGTGACGACTTCATCGAGATGAAGTCGCTCGACCAGTGACATTTTCCTCGTATGTCCGCTTGCAATGCGAACGGCTGCGAACGACGATGACGACGACAATACCGCTGAAGAGTCCGCAAATTAATCGCACAGACACACGGCCACTACCGGAACTATTGATTGCCACCTTGGAAAAACAGCGGCGGGCATTAAGGCAGTTTAAAACGTACTACCTGCGGTATCTAATCTCTCGGCTAAGATGTCGACGCGCACTGATAGCTGTTGATAAGAAAGAAAAAGCGCGCCGCGCCGCGCCGCACCGCGCAGCCTACACCTGCCACAACGCTGCGACCTCGCGCGAACTCCAGCTGGCCAAATTCGTCTCTGACAAGGAACATCCACGAAATATGTGTCTCCGATTTCGACGAAACTTGACATATTTGTAGAGTAGCCAAAAATAAGGTATTATTTATTTGTTTTTATATTTTTATATTTTTTTTTATCGGCAATGGCTCAAGTTTAAGAGGTGAAACTGCCCCTCAAAGTTTCATTCCCTCTATGTTATCTCGATAACTATTGCAGATAGGAAAAAACTTTTTAAACAAAAATTGTATGGCATAAAAGAACGTACAATTTTTATTTAAAATGCTTTTCCCTATCTGCAATAGTTATCGAGATAACACAGAGGGAATGAAACTTTGAGGGGCAGTTTCACCTCTTAAACCTGAGCTATTGCCGATAAAAAAATATGGATCCTTTATTTCTGGCTACTCTACAAATATGCCAAGATTTGTCAAAACCGGAGACACATACACTTCGCGGATGTTCCTTGCGAGTCCCCTCTCGAAATTTGTTCTCTGTTGCTGAACAAAACTCCTGAACAATCACTTTGCGTTAGAGTCCTCTTCTTCTCCTTTCTCTAACCGGTCAGTCGACCATGTTATACCCCGTTTCTCTTAAACTTCCGAAAATGTAGCACTCAATCCAGCGATAAAAGACGAATCTTTGTGTCGCGACGGAATGTGTTCTGTGTCCGGAAAGGTACGTAGGATCAAGTACAAGTGCGGAGGCACACAATTGCTCTCGCAATAAATAATACATTTATTCGCAAACGGCTGACGATTATTACATCGTGATGTTGGTTCGGCTCACGCGAGAGGTCATGTTCCACGGAGCCGTTCCTTCGGAAAATAAAACGATCGCAGTTTCGTCTTCTGCAAATCTTTTTTAATTCCCCAACATTTAGCAGAGCGCGTGGTTAGTGCTTTGCAAGATATAATATCAAATTTAAATTTTATTAAAAGGTAGAATCGATCAGTTTGGGGGTTCTACAGGGCTCAATAGTAACTTCGTAAGCGACTTCGGTGAGAGACTCTCACTCGCGTGACGTCCGCGCTCGCCAACGATGCGACGATGCCGAACGGTACCGCGCGTTTAATTTAGCAGGAAACAACGATACCGTTATGTTCCGCGAGGTATTTTACGAAGCTTCCTTTATTCGCGTTCTCTTTATTAGCGTGTCCAGCATGGCGATTCCTTGGCTCACGCGGACCGCCTTGACGCGGCTCGCCTTGACGGACAGAGATGAGCGATACTTGTGCCGATCCTGTAGAGAAATGTCTCGTCCGCCGGAACATCCTGCGTCCTGTCTTCTCGGACGACTCGTCACACGTCTTCGCGGGCGTCTTCGCCGGTTGCTATCGTGGTGTACCGCACTCGCTTATTGACCGAATCGAGCGCGATCGGCCCGATCGTGCCGATCTTCTTCCGAAGTACCGTCCTGTACAAGTATAGCAACACGCATATCAGAGCGACGAGTACCATGAAGAGGAAGGCAAGCAGCACCGTGGTTCCTCGTCGAGTGGAAGCCAGCAATTTCGGCGCGCAGTTCTTCGTTTCGTAAAGCTCGCGACTCACGTTGCCTGTAATGAGAGGAAGTGAATATAGAAATTTCTCGGCACACACATGAAAGTGGGAAAGTGGGAAAGAAAACGAGTTCCCTTACAACTACAGGGTACTATACTTTCGATAAATTTGTCTCGTCGTGAAACAGATTTCGTTCAGAGACTCAATAAAGGAGGTTCGAAATTTGTGCCTCGTACTCGACCGAGGATTATTACCTTCGCGGCATTGCATCCGAGCGGTGTTGCGCACAAACACCGTCATCTTCTCCATCCACTTGACGAACGGGTTGAGCTTGCAAGAGCATTCGAAGGGATTGCCGGAGAAGTCGACAGACACCTCACGGTCATGCTTGGCGAGATTGTCCATGATATGCAGGTCACGCTCAAGCACTCTGGTGAACTTGTTCCTCCGCAGATCAAGGAAGCGTAGGTTGTGCAAGCAGGACAGGTTAAAATGCAGCGCGCTCAGCGCATTATCGCCGAGGTAGAGGTCCATGAGGTTCGGCAGGTCGCAGAACACATTGACGTCGCGGAACTCGGAGATCTCGTTCTGCTCCAGGTGTAGTTTTATGAGGTGCGTCAGGTTGCTGAGAGATCATCAATTGTGCCAGGAATGACGATTGTTGAGCGACTCACTGTCGCGCTCAGTGTCGTGTCGAGATAGAAGAAGAAATACGTGATGATCGCGCGATCACATCGCAGAAGACGTACCTATTGACGAAGATGTCGTGAAGCGTTGACGCCAGGTTCCTCGGCGGGCCGTCCTCGAAGGCGTCGGTCAGGTGTAGCTCAAGCAGGGATACGAAATTCGAAAACACTCGAGGATGACTTTTCGCGGGGTCCAACGAGAGTTCGTTGAAGTCGAGTATGAGACGCTCCACGTGCTGAACGTGGTGATACGCCTTACCGTGAATCTCGCGGATCTTATTGTTCGACATGTCGATCACTCGCAGGTACGGCAGGCTGTCCAGTGTGCCGAATACGTTCCACGGTAGATCCTTCAGCTCGTTGCCCGTGAAAATGAGCACCTGAACGCGTGAAAACGTTAGACCGGACACGCGGATTGCGTGTTGGAATGTTCCATATGTGAGCGTTGAGTTTTTAATCTTTTCTTATTTTGTATGTTCAGTATTATTTTAACAGGGAGATATTATATGTGATCGAACGTTGTTGAACGTGTCCTGATTCTCTTATGAATGCTCGCACGCGACATTCTGATGTGAATTTAACAAAATGATATACCGGCCGATAAAGCAGGATCGAACGCGGTAAGATACTTGACGGAGACCAATTTGATCGCAAGGGCTTAAAATCAAAACTTTCGATTTCGACTGCCAACGTACTTGCGTCTCATTGGGTAGGTGCGACAGCGAGGTGGCGTCTTTGAAGCCGGTGTTCGTGCAATTCACGACGTACTGATGATGGCCGTCGTAGCATGTCCTAAGACAATGGCAACGGTTCTTAAAAGCCGGGCCGCACTCTAGCCTGGACGACTCCGACGTTTCCAGCGAATGGAAATTGGGATCGCTGCAGTCGTTGATCGATCTGACGTTGATCGTTGTGCATAGCAGTACGAGTATTAAACGAGGAACGACGGCCTTCATGGTGACTCTGAAACACGTCGATGCGTGACGCCGCGACAATTCGAACGATGACTCCACGTCCAGCTGCGAAGAGGACTCGAGAAGCTTACGTTTACAATCATCTGAACAAACGTGCCGCACGAGATCCGTTATGCCGTCAGCCGAAAAGAACCTCGCACACAGCGTTGCCAATCTACAAATTCATATATCAGAGAATTGTTAAGAATAACATTTCTGGAACATGAGTCATTTGGACCGATTTTATAAGTCAACTTTAAGTCTAGAGTTGAAAGTTCCTCGAGAAAAAGATAATTATATATCTCATGTTATATGTGACTTTTGCCTCTATACGGCCACGTACAATCATGTGAAATACGAAATTTCTGAATTCTCCCCGATTGAAATCTGCCGCGAGCAGAATTTCGTCCCGTGGTATTCGACTACAAACAGCAGATCGAAGGACTCGAAATGAACGTCCGAAGCGATCACGTCCACGCGAATCGTCGTCGTCGTATCGGCCTGTGCAGTATCAAAGCGTCAGCTTCGAAGTAGGTCGTCGAGTCATACTTCTCGAGAAACGTCAAACTAGCTCACCCACGCGACAGGTGTGATGTCGAGTATCGCGTTCTCGTCGAATTCCCTTGGGACGTAAGACGAATTCACTCGATCGCGCAACGATCAAGACTCGACTGCGAGATGAGACGTAGGGAAGAGAAATACTCGTCTATGCTTGATAATTTCAAATAAACAGAAGATAATGCCCACACACACGCAGACGGAGAGAGAGAGAGAGAGAGAGAGAGAGAGAGAGAGAGAGAGAGAGAGAGAGAGAGAGAGGGGGAGGGAAAGAAAACAAGGCCTGTTAAATCGGCTTTCGAATTTTTAAGGGAAAATAATATTTGATACAAGAAACACACAGAAAGAAGCAGCGGCATTTCTTTATCCATTATTCATTCATTTACCTATTTATTTCAGAGAAGAATAACTTTTGATATACACTAACAATACGGAGTATGGATGAATAGCGAGCTGAGTCACGCGTGTGCGTGCGAGATTCTTACCTGCTAGAGGTTCCTGCTTACTATTCCTCCCGCGCGTGTTGACCAACGATGACGACGACGACGACGAAAAGAAGAGAGAAAAATAAAAGAGAAGAAGGATAAGGAAGAAGAAAAAGAAAGGAACTTAAGGCCCCACGTACAGCCCCACCGTTCAAGGTAGAAAGTGTCTCGTCGTCTTCGAATTCCACTTCTGTACCGCACTACTCGTCCTCGACGACGACGAGGAGAAGGAAATGATATTTCCGATACCGTATATGGCAGCACCGATATTCAAAACCTATTACACTCCGGAACGTCGACAGGCACTTGGCACACGAGAAGGATGATCAACTCCGTATACGGTTTAGCCGTTTATTCTTTCACACGGCTTGCACTCCATGCGGCAACTCGGAGCTCTTGGTTCCACTGGACATGACGTTCCGTGGCAAGAGCAAAAGAGCAATAAAGTTGCGACAGTCAGCCAGACAGGTAGGCAGGCAGGCAGGCAAAACGGGCAGGAAGCGGTGTTTCTGCCCCTGCGACGCCGTACTCCTCCTGTATTCGCGGCGGTACGAGCGGACCGCACAGCATTGATCGACTGTGCTTCATCCTGGCCGCACCTCCGGTCCCATTCCCTCCTATGAAACATGGGACCCGTTGGGGACCTCGCTGGGCCCCAATCCCCACCTATCGTAACGAACATTAACAAAACGACGATACCCATAGCGCTTTCCCTCTTCACGACCCCCTTCGTCTTTCTTCATTCGACTTTAGAAACATTGGTTCACCAATGAACGAATGAACAAATGAGCCATGTCATCAATAAACAACTTTGAGCACACTTTTTTAATAGAAAGTACTTGTTTAACTTATGATTCTCTCTCTCTCTCTCTCTCTCTCTCTCTCTCTCATCTTCTCTTATACTTTATCGCTCTTTCTCTCTCACGTTCCCATTCCCCTCCAGCTATCAAGTGCTCTCACACACACACATACACACATACTGTCTCTCTCTCTCTCTCTCTCTCTCTCTCTCTCTCTCTTTCTTTCATTTTTAGTCCATTTAGTTCATTTTAGTAAAAATTTAACGATGGTACAATTTTAGGTAACTCGATAAGTACTGACGAATACATTTATAAAATTGGTCAGATTGAGTTCCAGCTAAGATTTTGAAGGCTAGTGTGCTCATTACATTAATCTGATATGAGAACATGAAACCGAGAAAGTGAACAAAACTAAAAACTTTTCAATTTTGTAACTGTGTGTGCGTGGTGATGGTTCGAGTCTCACCAAACTTTCATGGGAACTGGACAATTGTAATTCAAATTTCGACTAAATTCGACTCGATATACTTCTTTATTCATAATATTTTCCTGATACAAAAATGCAAAATGGAAGAAATGAATAAAATTCTAATTTAGTAATTGTGGTTCGAGTCTTGGCTAAACTTTATACAGGCTGGTAAATGGTGGTTTCAGTCTCAAATAGACATTGACGAGATACTAATGAAGACTGTTGAGTCTTACGGAATTTAGCATACCACAGAAATCTCGCTGTGCATTAGCGCCCTTTTAAAAATATCGTGACTGAAATATGAAACTGTAGCTCGAAATAAGCATAGATGGTAACAGATATGAAATAATAGGAAAAGAGTATCGGAAAGTATTAAAAGAATATTACCGAAAATACGCCAATTGATTAACTTCATTGACCCATAAAAAAATGAAAAAAATCTAAACCAAGAGTTTTTGGTGAATTTTCAGAATTACATTCGATAGTGCTCGCTGAGACAAAGAAAATGACATCTCGCACGACTTTCTATGACTACTGGAAGTGCTCCAAACTCAGTACTCCATGTTTAAAAAATGTAAACTTTTTCAGGCACTTCCGATGATTGTAAAAAACCGAGTATGATGTCGTTTTCTTCGTCTCGACGAATTTTACCGAATGCAATTCTAAAAGTTTACAAAAATGCCTGGGTTATATTTTTATCTTTTTATGGATCCATGGAATTAATCAAAATCTAAAGCAGGCGTTTTTTATAAATTTTTAGAATTATACTCGATAGTATTTACCAAAATATACGAGATAGCATCACCATCGAATTTTCTCTTCCATTGGATGTACTTGAAAATTGGTAAAACTGGAAGTGAAAATTAATTTTTTTTTGGATTTTTTGTCGGAGAACTCGGTCGAATAAAATAACTTGTAGAATTTATTGTTAATTAGTAATAATTTATACGTGTACATATAGATATTAATAAACGCATATGCGTTTATTAATATCTATATGTACACGTATAAATTATTAATATTAATAATTTACTATCTAATATAATTATCTATATTAATAAACGCATGTGCGTATATACGAAAATTAATTTAGAATTGAAAATATATGAAAGTACGATTGCGTGAATTATGAAATATGTATTATTACGCGCTGTTTCTCATTGTTTGCATTTGATGAATATCAATTACCCCGTGTTACAAGTTTAACAGCATAACTATGACTGACTTACATATGCCATTAAATTTGATTTTTCTTAAAAAAAAAATCCAAAATTTTATAACCAAAACTACGTCAATCGGTTCGAAAGTTGTACAAAAATTTAATCAATCGAGATGGTCTACGCACGTAGATGGACTTAATTTGCTGAAAAGAAATCTTATACAGTCGCGATAGAATGTGTGTAGTGGCGGGCGCAAAAGTCGGTATATTTTCTCTTCAAGTTTCGGGACATATCCAACAGTAAGAAACTTCCCTTTCTCGAAAAGAAATTCTTCTGTTAAACTGTGTATAGAAAAAATGTAGCAACTTTCACGTCCACAATTATACACACCGTGAAATTTCATATCCAGTATGTATATCAATGTCCAAAAGTATCGATCATAGAATTCGCGATACGTATTATAAAAATTATAGGTTGTTGCACTATTCTTACCGGTGGGCGTCTTATTATTCGTGAACGCCGTCAAAAGAAAACGACATAAGTACAAATACAGAGCGCGAATAGATAGTGGCGTTTGTTTATTTCACACAGGAAGTCCACAGAGAAAATTATTAATACGCAATCACTAATTAATCATTAATCATTAATATATGCATATAAAAATAACATATATAAAATATAACATGTGTATATATCGTGGTATAAAGTAGGTAAATCCGATAAATTAGTATCAATCGTTTATAGACTAGACACTATGACGATCGCGCAGTAGACTATTACGACCGACGAGGTGAGAGCAAGAACCGTTAGCCTTGAGGAATCTAACGTATATGACAAATTTCGCTATCTAATAACTTTTTGTCGGTGAATTTCACGTCAAATCATCGTGCCGAAATACAGTTTCACAAAAATGTCTGATATACTTCATCATATCAATTTGTATACCAATAAATTGTAATGAGAGAACTGTATATGTATTATGAAGTATGGAAATGGATTTGTCGAGGGTTGACGGTCTTTAACAGTAACCTCGTTGGTACTACTACAGAGTATACCGACTTGGGATTATATTCTTATCGTAGATATTATCGATATGCCATATTGTTTACCTGTATATTGGTACAGAGATTTGATTTGTGGGAGATATCGGGACATTTATCAATATGAGATCTCTTAAAATTACCCTACATACATACATACATACATAATTACACACGCATGCGTAAGCATATATATATATATATATATATATATATATACACATATATGTACATACGTTGTTAAACGCGTGCGTTATTACAATGTAACGCGCGATACATAGGGCAGCTCGAGTGAAATCGCAGCTTTGGAAAAGCGGCGACTTAATAATTATTTAAAATACATCGGAAGTGTCGGTAAGATTAAGGACGTACGTCGAGAATATAACAAAGATGGAAAAAAACAAGATATCCTCTCTGTTGTAAAAGTAATGTATTACTAATAGCTGTCACGCACTGCGCTCATGTCATTTAAAATAAAATTTTACTTTTCACCTTGTGCCGGCGCGGCATGTTGGTTTGGTTTATTACTTTGGCCCGAAGAGAACCTAACTGCCTAGGTTACATTGCAAAGAGAATTAAATGCTTTTGCTTTTATATAAGTTTTGAAATTGGAAAAATACATGTATATATACATTTCTATATATAAATATATAGAACATTTGGCAGTAATAAGAAAGATCAAATATATGTGTGTATTGTGTGTATATGTGTGTGTTTATGTATATGTGTTGTGTGTTTATTAAACGTCCGTGGTACACAAATTCGTGGTAAAACATCTTTCTTATTTCTTTCCTTATGTTTTTGCACTTTTAATGTTTAATTTCTTGTACGTTTGGTAAAATCGAGATTCTTGTTCAAAGAGATTGTTGTGATATTATCATTCAGTATTTTCTCACGTATTATACGATGCGACGGGTTTATGCTTAGTATTTAAGCTTTATATCTCTCCTTCGCGAGCATCTGAACGAATATTAAGCTGATGCAAATAAAAAGGAACTCCAGCAGTCCGAGGCCTATCGAGATGATACCGACAATCGCGGTCTGTTTCGACAGTTCAATCGCCAATTTATCCATGCAGCCCTGCAACAAGATTCTCAGTTCAATGCTTCATTTTGGAATTTGATGCTGTCGCATGCGTATCTCTTTATTTACAAGTTTTTTTATTTCTTTATAAAGCGACCATCTTTTACATAGCGACAAAGTTTATATTCTGTAATTATTTTCTTTTTTTGTAGAAAGTGAATTACCTCGTTGTGAATTTCGGTGCTCACGATTCCGCCGATTTTCATCTTGCGCGTGTCGTTACAGATAGCGCTGTCTGTCATTTTGCAACACGACTCCGGCACATTGTATATATTAGTAACGCTGCTGGAAACAGTCAGATTAAACGGAAGAGAAGGATCCTTGTTCGCGTATTTACTGCCGGCCCAATCCGCTGGTCCGGTGGCGCCGCAGCATTCAAGTTCGTATTGGAACGCGTCCACGATCTGCGTGCGAGATTCTATCACGCCGTATTCATTCTGCAATGAAAAAGACAGACATTTAATTTTTTTCGCATACAATTGTTTTGATGAAATTAATATGGAAGTTTCGAAAATCTGCGTGTGCACATGAGGTTCTCGATACAATTTATTATCGAATCTATTAGGTGTTCCGGTTAATTTTGAGAGCTTAATATAGATGGCTATAGCTAGAAATCTACAAGAGATATGTTGAAAGTTGGTACGCCATTTTAAAGCTCAGACATTTCTACAAGTAATTTGATACATGGCATGTGCATTCGTGAACATAATCACACTTTTTATGCGATTGAAAATGGAGCGTGGTAAAGAACATTTTCGACATTTATTGCTTTACTGTTTCAATTCGAAGAAAACGGCTGCTGAAGCCCACCGATTCATCTCAGAAACTTATTCTTATTTTTCTTTATCGGTTAAAACATACGAGTACTGCTATCGGCGATTTCGATTTGAAAGACAAAGAACGTTCAGGTCGATCAAAAAAGTTTGAAGATGCCGAATTGCAGGCATTATTGGATGAAAAAGCCCAAACGCTTCAAGAACTAGCTGAAGCATTAAATGTTGGTAAATCAATCGTTTCAGATCGTTTACACGTAATGGGGAAGATTCCAAAAGAAGGCAAATGGTTGTCCACATGCATTGTCTGAATTAGTTATTCAAAATCGTTTAACTATTTGCACTTCATTGCTTTCTCGTCACAAAAAGAAGCAGTTCTTGTATCAAATTATAACTGGAAATGAAAAATGGATCTACTATGATAATCCTAAGCGTAAAAAGTCGTGGATAAGTCCAGGCTTATCGATATCGACTCCAAACGCAACATCCACAGAAGTAAGGTTTTATTGTGCATTTGATGAGATATGAAAGGCGTCGTGTTTTATGAGTTGCTACAACTGTGAATCAAACAATCACTGCTATGCGTTATTAACAACAATTAATAGATTTGAATCTTGTTTTAAACCAAAAACGCCCAGTAATAGCTCAAAGAAAACGCAAACTGATTTTGTTGCACGATAATGCTTGACCGCACGTTGCAAAGACACTTAAGGATACATTATCGGCACTTCAATGGAAGGTCCTACCACACGCCGCGTATTTACTAGACTCTGCTCCTTTCGAGTACCATTTATTTCGAACTATGCAGCACAGCCTTGCTGACCAGCACTTCAACTCATATGAAGAAATACAAAAATGGCTCGACGAGTGGTTTGCTTTGAAGAACGAATATTTCTTTTATCGCGGAATTCACTTGTTGCCCGAAAAGTGGGAAAAAGTTATAGCTAGCGATGGAAAATATTTTGAATAAAATATAATTTAACGTCTCTCAAAAATAAACGTCTTTCTTTTGCAAAACATCCTTCAAAACTAACCGGAAGACCTAATATTGCTATAGAATTTTATGTTGTTTATTATTTCTACAGTAATTCATATTGTTGCCAGCTTTGCAAAAAAATTGTAGAAAGGAATTTGATTTTAATGTAACTTTGCTACAATGTTTTCCGTATACAGGACACAATAATTTGCAGTTACGCTTGTATCCTCAGTAAAAGTAATTGCAAATTTTTTATAAATTTTAATGTCGTCAGAATGTCAAGCCTCCAATGCAATCAACAAGTGCAATAACATTACAGCCTTCAATGGGTCACTAAATTAATGGAACCTTAATACGATCTCACCTTTATGGTGTTTATCATGTTGGACTTCAACAGTTCTTTCAGACGGTCAGAGTTGACTGTGACCCATACCCCAAAGGAGATTTGCCAGACGATACAGACAAGCATTATGCAGAAGGATGTCATCACATTGCATCGAGATTTTTTGCAAGCGCCACAACAGGCTAGTATACTGACGAAAGCCAGGATGATCCCCAGACCGAGTAAGAGGTACAGAGTCACTTCGTAATTTAGCTGTTCCTCGGCGAATGACACTAGGAACGTGTTTCGGTCGGCCAACATCCATGTGGCCAATGCTATCAGCAGCACTGCAACAGTCTGAACAAATCTTGATTAACATGTTAGGCGTCACTGTTTTTCACTGTGTACACAATGAAAATTGAATTTCTATTATAGTTATAATTACAATTTCTTTCTTATTCAACGAAAAATTGCTTGATTAATGTATATTTTATCTTATAGTCTTATCTTACATTCATGTTTTTATCCAAACATGTTTTCCATTTTCCAATTTTTTCAGTTACACATGTTCTCACAGAAACAGTTCAAACCCGAAGGGCCAGAGCACAGGCTTTTGCATAACACATAATACACAACGCATAAGAGAATAAACCAATTAGTTTTCTTCATTTCCCTCCTCAGGACAGAAATGAAGAACTCTGATTGATTGATTCTCTTATGTATTATCTCTTGTGTATTATGCGTTATGCAGAAGTCTGTGTTCTGGCCCTTTCATGGCCATTCATGCTGCGAAGAGGCTTGTCGCATATAGCACAGTACAAAAAGGAATTTCGAGTTTAAGGGCAAAAGCACAGATTTCTGCATAACGCATAATACACAACGCATAAGAGAATCAATCAATCAGAGTTCTTCATTTCTATCCTGAGGAGGGAAATGAAGAAAACTAATTGGTTTATTCTCTTATGCGTTGTGTATTATGTGTTATGCAAAAGCCTGTGCTCTTGCCCTAAAAGTTAACCTCAGGACTGTAAGGGCAAGAGCACAGGCTTTTGCATAACACATAATACACAACGCATAAGAGAATAAACCAATTAGTTTTCTTCATTTCCCTCCTCAGGACAGAAATGAAGAACTCTGATTGGTTGATTCTCTTATGCGTTGTGTATTATGCAGAAGTCTGTGTTCTGGCCCTTTCATGGTCATTCATGCTGCGAAGAGGCTTGTCGTATATAGCACCGTACAAAAAGGAATTTCGAGTTTAAGGGCAAAAGCACAGATTTCTGCATAACGCATAATACACAACGCATAAGAGAATCAATCAATCAGAGTTCTTCATTTCTATCCTGAGGAGGGAAATGACGAAAACTAATTGGTTTATTCTTTTATGCGTTGTGTATTATGTGTTATGCAAAAGCTTGTGCTCTTGCCCTTACAGTCCTGAGATTAACTTTTAGGCGCAGGACCGAACAAACGCCTAACGAGAGAAACTTGGACCATAGCGGGCCCGTCGTAGGACAAAAGCGGATGACGCTTACAATGAAGCGGTTTGTCCACCAGATGCGAGAGCTTCCATTTGAGTAAGTGTGTGCGCATGGATTATTATGGCGTTTCCTGCCTCGACGACCCGAACAAATGTTAATTAACGTTCGAGCGCATGCCGTTCTTGCGAATGCGAAGCGGCACTCGCCGCTCGAAGTCGTCAATTAGTCTGTGTAAACCGAGGAGATAAGAGTGAAAATATGTTAATACGAGCCCGTAACGAACGTTAAATATTTGCCGTGTGTGAGGAAACAAAGGTAAATATTTGCAATTCACACGTAAAAATCACACGCGACTCGATTGGAATTTCGCCTGAGTACATTCCAAATTCGAGTGGGAGACGCATCGCGTCGAGTACGATTTCCTCTGAAAACAGGCAGTTGGCCGGCTGTAGGAGAGTATATTAAACGTGATAATTCCAATTTGAGCCGTAACGAATGTGGGCGCGTCTTGGAACATGTTATGTTTCTTATTATTACTCACGCGAGGTTACACGAGATCCAGTGATGTAGGAGTGATCGCGCGCAACGACTAAAAGTGATCCGGTGAATCAAACAGATTCCAAGCAGCTAATATCAGAATTAATAATGATCGTGCCGCGATTCGCGCACGGGTCCAGCGAAATCATTGCGTTGTTCCATTTTGATCAAAGGAACCTTGCGATCATTTGCTTAATTTTATATAACTGAATATATAGGACATTTTGCTCGGTGTTTTTCTTTGGTATTCTTTAATTTTAATTAATTGTAAAAATTATTATCAATTATTATTTTTATTAAATATAAACATAGCAATAACGGCATGTTAATGCTGCAAGATCTTTCGGCGAAAATAATATATACCGTGAAAAGAAAAGAAAAGAAAGAAAAAGAATAGCAAATTATAGAGCAAAATTTTCTGAATATTCGCAGTGTCGAGTCTGGTGTCGCTATTAATAAAGATGCAATGAGTTTCAAGGCGCTGTGTGAGGCTCCGCAAGATCGCAGCGAGAATATGCAAAGTGCACGCTCGCATTATTCAAAAGATATCTTTTACTGATATCAAAGCAGTAGGCGGAATAATACAGAGGGAGAGACCACGAAGGAAGAAGGGGCAATGGGGACGGGAGAAACTGGGCCGCAGCGTGGGTCGAAAGTTCCGTAGGAAGAGAATGTACGTTCTCTCTCTCTCTCTCTCTCTCTCTCTGTTCGATCGAAACTATATTTAACCATGTTTGCCTAGGAGAGATATTTCGTAAGTGTGATACACATGTGTTCGAGACGCTAATTGATTTATCGCGCGCGATAAACGAACGCGTCTTTTATGTCATTTTACTTTGGTTGTCATTAATATTAATTTTATTTTTTGTTGTAATGAAAAATATGTTTTACTCCACCGACCGAAGTTTCTCTCTCTCTCTCTCTCTCTCCCTCTCTCTCTCTCTCTCCCTCTCTCTCTCTCTCTCTCTCCCTCTCTCTCTCTCTCTCTCTCTCTTCCCCTTCCATTCTTTTCCAAGTTTCCTAGACTTCTCTGCACAATCTTCTGGTCTCTATTTAATGTGATTTCGGTCTGTCATCGATATTTCGGTCACGAACGTGCAGACGCAATCTCGACTCGTGTGCGTGAAACCTCGCTCGCGTTTCAAAATTGAAACTCGGTTCTCGGCATCGTCAATTGCAGCTCAAACAAAATAAAAATTGTATTTATATGCTAAATCTTACAATTCCAAATGTTCGCGCTTCAATTCAAATTTAATCTTTATCCGTTTCCCTGGACACGGAACACACCGAGGGACAATCGTTAAAACGGCAGCTTTAGTTCGATATATGTTCCAACATTACATCATGTCTTATCTCCTTTTTCTCTTTTTCGGGTAAACACTTGGAAATCATTCATGACGTCGTAGAAGGAGCACGCAGTGTGATGCTCTACGTTCCCAGACGGTGAAGGGAAACGCGAATATCGATCAGACCGAAAGGCAGCTGCAGAGAGACTCACCATGATCATGACGCTTGAGGTAAACAGCATGCACAATATAAAGTTGTACCAACACTGCCCCATCTTGTCTCGATTCCTCGTCTCTCGTTTGTTGCGGACACAGTTACGATGAGAGATGATCAGTCTGTTCGCGCGCGCGCGATTATCGCTTGGGAACGTCCGCGGTCAACGAAGGGACGCGCTTTTTCTTCGCGTGTGCATAATAGACGCTCCAACCGCGTTGCAGACGCACAGTCGTCTAAATGTTCAACTTGTTGAGCTGACGACGCGCGGGCACTACGGTGTTTATTGGTTCAATCTTGGAATTGGCATTTGTATAGCGGATTCACGCACGCACTGCCGCGATTACTATGACCATAAGAAATATAACAACATACACAAATTGTCAGCCGTGCCGACGCTACTGAAAGGCTCGCTTCGTACCGCTTCGTGCAGAAGCGAGCGTCGCGAGTGCACCGATACTTGCAATGCACATAGAAAGGAAGCTTCGACGTTCGAACGTAACGCTTGACGCGCGGTGGAAGTTACCTAGGGTATATAGTAATAGCCAATCAATGGCTGCATTCAGCAGACTCAACAGTTGGACAACATTAGTAGATTTTCCACTGAATCTCGCTCCTGATTGGTAAATATTTCTGGGTCTATGAAGAATCTAAAAGAATGTTCCAATCACAGATAATAATCACTAAGCGCTCTCTGATCACTTTGTTCTACTGAACGCGGCCAATGGCTGCATTCAGCAGACTCAACAGTTGGACAACATTACTAGATTTTCCACTGAATCTCGCTCCTGATTGGTAAATACTTCTGGGTCTATGAAGAATCTAAAAGAATGCTCCAATCACAGACAATAATCACTAAGCGCTCTCTGATCACTTTGTTCTACTGACCGCGGCCAATGTTTCGCATGTCCAGGTCACTAACTTCGAATTTGAGGGTCTGTTCATTTTAGCTGCACTGCTGAACCGGTGCAATAAGTTAGAGTGAGAAAAAATATAGACTACGTTTACACGGCTTCTAACTTCGACTTAGTAACTTAGTTAGTGCAGTCTCGAATCCGATTAGAGTATATTTTTAGATCTAAAAGAATATACCAATCGAATCAAAGAATTTACTAACTACGGTTGTTACTAATCCGGATTAACCTTGCCATGTAAACGTAAATTATATAGTCTGTTCTTTGTAGCTGCACTGTTGAACTGGTGCAATAAGTTAAAGTGAGACAAATATAGGTTTTCTCACTCTAGCTTATTGCATCAGTTCAGCAGTGCAGTTACAAAGAACAGACCAATAGCTGCTCATTCTAAAACCAGCGGCACACGATGCTTGTTTTCGTGCTGGATTGCTTGCTGGATGAAAATATTGCGTTCTCATTGGTACATTTTCGAAGATGAATGGAAATGCATTAATCAGAACGCAGTATTTTCATTCAGCAAGCAATCCAGCACAAAAACAAGCACCGTGTGCCGTTGGCTTAACTTATAAAGCCATGAAAAAAGGAGGGCGTACTAGGTGGCGACGGGACGTCGTGCGTTGGGGACCTGCATCTTATTTTCGTTCCGAAGAGAGAAAAATATCGAGAACGCGGTAGTCGCTAAAACCGGGGAGAATCGAACCCGGGTCTTTCGCTTGCTGGGCGACTGCTCTAGACCACTAAGCTACTTGACGCTCGACGCTCCTGACACTCTTCTCTCCTTAGATCAGTGCTGGCCACGATCTGCACATTTCGGGCGAAATTCAATAAGTGACGCCTACCGTTCCCCTCGCACCGCTCCGCGCTCAGCGGCCCTGGTGACGATCGCGGTACACTCAGGCCCATCGCTGTATAAGAAATCAGTTGAGGCGTCACATTATCATTAAAATTGTTTTCTCGTTTAATAATTACTTTAAAATATATATTTACGTGTTTAATACTTACGTGTTTAGTACTTACGTGTTTAATACATACATATATATATATATATATGCATACATACATACATACATATATAATGCATAAACATATATATATTTAACGTGATTATTAAACGAGGAAACAATCTTAATGATAATGTGACGCCCCAGCTGATTTCTTATACAGCGACGGGCCTGAGTGTACCGCGATCGTCACCAGGGCCGCTGAGCGCGTAGCGGTGCGAGGGGGACGGTAGGCGTCACCTATTGAATTTCGCCCGAAATGTGGAGATCGTGGCCAGCTCTGATTTATACTAATATTATAACTAACTAGCTAATATTATAATTATAAATATACAAAAGTAAATGTTTCTGAAATATATTTTTTTATATAACAAATCTAAAAACGTTAACATGAAATATTACTATTCAAATTTCTATTTTTTATAAAAAATGATATTAAATAATTTAACCAAATAAAAATAAAATAAAATCAAATTATATCATTTTATTTGTATTTTCTACAAAAATAAAGATGTTACAAAATTTACGCCAAGTATTGTTACAAATTATTATTTTCTTCATTATATTTTGTTATTGTGACCTTTTAACCAAATAAAATTGAAATATTAAAATAAAATATAGTTATTTAAACTTATATTTCCCACAAAAGACATGATATAACAAATTAGGTTGAGTGTCAATAATTTCTACAAAAATAAATATACATTAAAATATTGCATCAATTCAAAATGTAAAATAAATAACATATTATGTTTGATACGGAAAGTTACCCAGGGCTGTCAGTCTTTATATTACCTCGTCGGTGACGAGAGCAAAAAGTTGTCTAAAAGTGCAGAAAGTGCACTTAGAATTACGAATTTGTAACACCTTCAATATATGCCGGAGATCCCGGGAGAAAAATTAAAGATGGCGGATGACGATGTAAATGGAGATTGCGATGATGTGCAGCAAGAGAAATCTCAGAAAAAAGCGGCCAAGTATGATAGCGGCGCGGCAGATTTGGAGAAGGTGACAGATTATGCCGAAGAGAAGGAAATTTCATCTTCCGATGGGTTTTCATGCGTAAGTATGTACCTTGTGTGTACACGTGCGTACAGATCTTAATTGATGCTACACATTTGCCTTTTTCCGTGTAAAATCGATTGAACGGCGTGCTTTACGTTATTGCTCCAAGTAATTAAATTCACAATTATTTTACGAAAGTGGCGGAATGTCTCGAGAGATCGATGCTTGATTTATTAAATAGTTAACCTAAACATAACCTATTTACCCTAGATTGTCCAATTACTGCCGTATACTTCTATTTTATATCTATCTAATCTGATTTTTATGTGAATAAAAGCAAAAACTTTAACAGGCATTGAGTATAATCGGTGACCGGCGGAATAAAGAAGCCGCAGAGAAGAAAGCCAAGGAGAAGGAACTGCTCAAAGTATCTATCAAAAAAGAAGATGTCGACTTAATTGTAAGCATATAGCCTGTATTATATATTCTGCAGAGATTGAAACCTATATATATTAAAAATCAAGTCAATGAACTGTAGCCTATAAAATGTTTGTTTCAGATGAAAGAGATGGAAATCAATCGAAACTTGGCAGAACAGACTCTCAGAGAACATAGAGGAGATATTGTAGAAGCATTAATTACATTAACTAATTGATATTGTACAGGACTGTGAGTGATCTCTTGCGACCGCAACTCCATAAATTCCATTGTAAATTACACATTAGTCCGGGAGTTGTTAAGACTTTGGTTTATTAATATTTATTAATAAGTATCATCAAACATATACAAATGGTATTTATATTTTTATTTCTTCTTACCTGTTGACATGTATGTGTACAAACACGCATATATACATAGATGCACATGTGCACACATGTGTAACATATACATATGTTTAGAGCAATATGTACATATTATATGTTTGACACTCACAAAAGTGTATACACGTGCAGCGTTATTAACGAAAATCCAGTAAAAATTCATAATGGCTATCAATAGGAGGAAATACTATTCGTGTGGTGCGTTGATTACATGCATTATCAGACTTTTGTATTGATAAGATTGGTAGTATCGGCGCAAATATCAGATTCCGTACGCAGTACTGTGTCGGAACACAGCTTGGAGGTGGTCACGTTGGTATCGTATTGATACGCTTGTTCTCCTGCGGTAGTGCTTTTTCACGCGTTGTTATTATGCCGCGTATAAAATCGTCCGTACGAAATTGCACGATCGTCGCGCCATTAACGCCGTATGTTGAATTATGTGAATGCAAGTGACGTTTTATCAAGTTTTCACTCGCACAGGTGTTCACTCGCTCGTCTCTCTCTCCCTGTCTCTATATATAGGTGTGACATCATGAGTCCGTTTTTCCTGGGATATTTATACTTTTACATGGTGATGACTTTATTTGCACGTTTAAGTACGTGAGTACGTTCATACTTGAACAATTCAACAATTTTCAATATTAAACGTTCATTTTGAGAAGAAAAAGAAAAATTTGTACGCATCCACTCGAAAAACTGACATATAATGTTATTATTTAGAAATTACGAATTTAAGATGGATTATTTTCTCTATTACTTTTTAACGCAATCTTCGTTTTCTTTATCCTTTTTGAAACATTTTTAAACATAGATTGGAAGTGTTCCGAAGATAAGTTCTTTATTAAATTTGCGCGCGCACAATGCAATGCATATTCCGTTGCGCAAATCATTACGGCGCATGGAGGATGTGTTATCATTTTTTCAACAAAGTAATCTCATTGCAAGGAGATATAGTATAATTTTAATGTACAGACACCCGATGTGTTTCAACAGATCCGTCTTACGCGCAAGACAGCACGATAGAGAATCTGCAAAAGTACGGAAACTGTACGGCTAATTGCACACAATATGACATTAAATCGAGTACGGCGTGCAATTGCATCGAAAATACCCGTAAGTTTGATCAAAAGTCTCTCACACACACATACACTTGCACACGCATATACAGCTAGAACTTAAAAATTTCTGCCGATCTTTCTTCACAAATAACATTTCATTTTTTTCTGTAGAAGAGGAGGACGGATGTATAATCGACTGTCCGCAGAAATGCTGCTTCCTCAGCGACTGTTCTTTCTGCCAGTAAGAATCGCGAGCAAGCAGATATTTTGACGTCTTTTAGAAACTTGCATTGTTTGAATCAGTTTTAATAATATTGCTATTGCAAAAAAAGATCGACTCCAATCGTGGTACTGTTGACTTATTTTATCAACATTATATAACAGTATTTTTTTCCATGTATCTTGTGAGCAGATGTTTCGATATCGAAGAAGAGAAAAACCAAGATTCAAACGGAAAGTTGACGTCAAAATGAGAAGAAAAAGGATTATATAAAATGTCATTATGTGATCATGATTCGATTATTTCCTCGTTATGTCGATGTCACCGTGACTCTTTATTCTGAGAGAGGATCTTTGAATTTACACACACCCTCTCCCCCCCCCGCCCCCGTATCTCGTTGAACTCGGAGGATCGTATTTTACTTTTTAGGGAACAATCACATTTTAGACAGTAAAAATGTCTAAATTACATTTTAGAGACATCTAAAATTAGAGACATCTAAAATAAATAGGATATCGTTTGTATACTTCTGAAATGTGATTTGAACATTTACACCGTTTAGGGTGTACTTTTAAACTTTTACGAAAATCGGACAGTTTTATCTTACAATTGATTTTGTTTTTTTTCTTCCAAGATGTGGATTTCGAGATTGAAACATTAACTGTGATAATTTTGGTCTCCGGTTATTTCGGAGGATCGAAGCTAGTGATAAAATAATGTATAGCAATGAAAATTTATTTCAGGCACGCGGAGTGGCAACTGATGACAATGACACATATCAGTATTTCCATATTATTTGTGCTTGGTATTACTGGTTTAATTTTAATGTACTGCAAATTATGTAGTAGGTACGAAAACGAATAGACTCGCGTACGCGTGACATTACTTCTTCCGAAAATTACTCGTATAAGAGTAACAATTCAGGAACGAATTCATGAAACTTTGGATTTTTTACGTGTTTGCGATGTTCAATCTAACGAGTGCGATAAATCTAACATAAATTCTACTGCAAACTAACATAAATTTAACATAAATTCTACTGCAAACAGTACGAACGTAACTTGGCACTATCCTCATTCTTCAAAGTTCATTCTTCTAATCGCACATGTACGTTTACTCTGATCGATCGAACGATTGGCTAGGGAGTTACACGTTTTACACGAAGACAATGTTGCGAATATTTCTATGATGCGCAGGACAAGGCGGCTGGCGCGAACTAGGTGCTTTAGGGCACAAGGTCCGGACGGCGCGATGTATTGCAGTACGGTCGACGGTTTACGGGAGAGACCACCACCGTACAGCGAAGTCTGCGGCGCTCCTCCCCTCTATGCATCTCCCTACAACAGGGTAGTTATTACAACAGTTGCGTTATTACTCAGACAATATAAATGTCTGCACACGGAGAAATATACAAGGTGAGGAAAAAATATGGAAATCCTTAAAACTCTCGAAAGATATAAGTTTTACCGAAGTGTTTCAGACAAAAGTTATAAGGCTTAAAACGATGTATTTACTGATCTTATCAGTTTGACCTTGAGTGGCGTTGCCAAGGTCAGGTCAGGGTCAACTTATTTTTTTTAAACAGAAACTTCCATTTTTTATTATATCATCTTTTTCTACCAATTAATTTGAACAACTTTTGTCTGAAACATATTTTTATTTACCTAATATGTTTTGAGATATTTAAGGAAAACTTGATGACTTTTTCAATACTTAACTTACGATATCTCGCTAACTATTTGTCAGAAGAAAAAATGGTACCAGACTTTTTTACTCTATCTCAAGAACATATTGTTACAATAGTTCCCTAACTTTTGTTAATTGACTTATTGACTTTGGGAAATTTCAAAATTATCAAATCAACAAAAGTCAGGGTGTTAAAATATATAACAATATATTTTTGAGACCAAGTAGAGTAAAAAAGTCTAATAGCATTTTTTCTTCCGACAAATAGTTGACGAAATATTGTAAGTTACATATTGAAAAGTTTCCGAATTTTCCTTAAATATCTAAAACAATATTAAGCAAATGAAAAAATATTTCAAATAAAAGTTGTTTAAATTAATTCGTAGAAAAAAATAATATAATAAAAAATTGGGGCTTCTGTTTAAAAAAAATAAGTTGACCTTGACCTGACCTTGGCAACGCCACTCAAGGTCAAACTGATAAGATCAATAAATACATCATTTCGAGCCTTATAATTTTTGTCTGAAACATTTTTCTGTAAAACTTATATCTTTCGAGGTTTTTAAGGTTTCCATCTTTTTTCCTCACCCTGTATGCTACATTCACAACCAAATGTTATTTGCTGCAAGTGTTTCACAAGTTTATGTCTTCGAAAATCTATCATAAATTTACTCTACTATTATAAATTTAATGATAATCATCATCATAACGTATCTTAGATCCGCTTTTGATCCAACGTAATACTTTATGAGCGTTCAATAAACGCGAATTGAACAAGAAAGAAAATGATAGATTGCGTGATGATCAAGTGCGTATGAAGTAAATTAATAAAATCGTACACGACAAAGAGTAGTGCGAAACACACACACATATATAGATTGAATATTCTCGACGGCAAGTTTGCGGCACCGTAATCTGCTGATTATGATAACGATATGCCATCTCATACATATCCTATATACAGTTTCTTCAACAGTAGATAAAC